AACTAACACAAGACCTAGAACTAGAATAATTCGGGTTTAGCCGTCTTTAAAGACGTGCGGCTAAGCCCGAATGTTTCTAGTTCTACGTCTAATGTTAGTTCTAGAGACAGTGCTAAGTAGCGCTAGTTAGCATAAGATGTTGTATGTTGTATATTTTTATTTAACTAGAACTAACACTAGAACTAGAACTAGAAAGTATGTTTCTAGCAGAATGTTTCTAGTTCTAGGTTTAGTGTTAGTTCTAGCTTTACACTATCACTAGAACTAACACAAGACCTAGAACTGGGATAATTCGGGTTTAGCCGTCCTGAGAGACGTGCGAATAAATCCGAATGTTTCTAGTTCTACATATAGTATTACTTCTAGTTTTGCACTATCACTAGAACTAACACAAGTGCTAGAACTAGAATAATTCGGGTTTAGCCGTCTTGAGAGACGTGCGGCTAAGCCCAGATGTTTCTAGTTCTACGTCTAATGTTAGTTCTAGAGACAGTGCCAAGTAGCGCTAGTTAACATAAGATGTTGTATGTTGTATATTTTTATTTAACTAGAACTAACACTAACACTAGAACTAGAAAGTATGTTTCTAGCAGAATGTTTCTAGTTCTAGGTCTAGTGTTAGTTCTAGCTTTACACTATCACTAGAACTAACACAAGACCTAGAACTAGAATAATTCGGGTTTAGCCGTCTTGAGAGACGTGCGGCTAAGCCCAAATGTTTCTAGTTCTACGTCTAATGTTAGTTCTAGAGACAGTGCTAACTAGCGCTAGTTAGCATAAGATGTTGTATATTTTTATTTAACTAGAACTAACACTGACACTAGAACTAGAAAGTATGTTTCTAGCAGAATGTTTCTAGTTCTAGGTCTAGTGTTAGTTCTAGCTTTACACTATCACTAGAACTAACACAAGACCTAGAACTAGAATAATTCGGGTTCAGCCGTCTTGAGAGACGTGCGAATAAATCTGAATGTTTCTAGTTCCAGGTATAGTATTACTTCTAGTTTTGCACTATCACTAGAACTAACACAAGACCTAAAACTAGAATAATTCGGGTTTAGCAGTCTTGAGAGACGTGCGGCTAAGCCCGAATGTTTCTAGTTCTAGATATAGTGTTACTTCTAGCTTTGCACTATCACTAGAACTAACACAAGAACTAGAATAATTCTAGAACTAGAATAAGTGAAGTAGCCTTCACTTCGTAGCACAAGTCGAACTGTTTCGATTTTGTATTAACATAATATAGACTTCAAATATCCTTCGTTTAAAAAATTCATTGAACTACATTTTATGAGCTGAGATATTATCATTTTCTGGGATGTATGTAGACTTTATTGTAGCACTGTAATTATCCTTGTATACAAACTGAATTTCATTGTCACACCATAACACACTTTTATTCGATCCAACAGATCAAAATGGAGGTCTGTATTCAAACGCCTCAAAACATGTTATATATAAATTTAAATATATATAACTTTTAAATGATTCTTAGAGAATATTTAAAACGATTTATAGTACTCAATCGATTAATNAGAACTAGAATCATTCGGGTTTAGCCGTCTTGAGAGACGTGCGGCTAAGCCCGAATGTTTCTAGTTCTAGATATAGTGTTACTTCTAGTTTTGCACTATCACTAGAACTAACACAAGACCTAGAACTAGAATAATTCCTCTTTAGCCGTCTTGAGAGACGTGCGACGAAATCTAGTGCTGTAGCCTTCACTTCGTAGCACAAGTCGAACTGTTTCGATTTTGTATTAAAATAATACAGACTTTAAATATTCTTCGTTTAAAAAATTCATTGAACTACATTTTATGAGCTGAGATATTATCATTTTCTGGGATGTATGTAGACTTTATTGTATCACTGTAATTATCCTTGTATATAAATTGAATTTCATTCTCACACCTTTATTCGATCCAACAGATCAAAAAGAAGCTCTGTATTCAAACCCCTCAAAACATGTTATATATAAATTTAAATATATATAACTTTTAAATGATTCTTAGAGAATATTTAAAACGATTTATAGTACTCAATCGATTAATCAATTTTAGACAATTTGATACGGTTATTAAAATAAAACCTTCACTTGATTTATTGGTTCACATCATTTACTTCATAAACATTCGCCATCAAAAGTATTTAAATAGTCATTTTATATTTTCATTAACAAATCAATATTTTATATAAAAACATTATATTAAAAATCTTGTATTTATATAGTGTATTAATTCGTCATTGACACATTACTAGTTTTTCTGTTATAATTAAATCTATTTAATTGGCAATTACACCGCCATCAAGTTTAACTATTTGTCTCGTATCGGCGTGATTTCAAATCACAGTCTTTTAAATTACGAGCACGTTTCTTTTTTTAAGTATTCGGCACTTGTGTGTGCGTTTATAGTTTGAAATTTTCCATGCTTTTTCACATCTACCTCTAAATTGCTTCATTAAAATAGCAATAAAGCGTGTTGTAATTGGAACACGAATTAGCGTTTTAAGCGAATTAAAATGAAAAGAAAATGTTTTAAATAAATTTTATTTCGTTGTTATTTATTGTAATTATTGAATATGTCATAAATCAAAATTAACAATCTAAATTTAAACTTCAAAATTTATTTGGTGTAAAACGAATTCTTTATTTTTTGATTAAGATTTTTTTTTTATCAAAATTTGATGTGCTCTCATTCCTAGAATTGAAATTTGTAAGATTCTTTTATTAGTATAGTCTTAATCGTAATTTTTTTTGTTACAGCAAAATTTCGCTGGAAACCACTTGGACGCTTTATTCCAAACGTATATTCACAAGTCCAATCATGGGTATATGTCGACGTTTTTAATATTGTTGTTCGCGTTTTCGTTGACGCATTTTTCAATTGTGCTCGGAATAAACATGGTGAGATGATAAACACAAAATACTCTTTTTTTTTTTCGTAAATATCGTTTATGTATTTATATTTTCGTTCATTCATCATCACTTATGATTCATGCTATCGTAATATTCGACATCCGATCAAACAAACAAAAAATAACGGATGTAACCCATCTCGGACATCTTATCAATTTTTTTCATTTTATCTCACTTGAAGATATCACCTAAATCAATTGAGAATGTTTCGTGTTTTTTATTATTATAAAAATTATCTTTAAAAATTATCTTTTCTATATTTTTACAGGGAAAGGATTCGTTAAATGAAGTAATCTTAGATCTGGTTGTCTACATTTTCGTAACCATATCATCCGTTGTAATTTTATATTTATCGGAAAAATTAGTGAAGAAGAGACCCACACTTTTATGTTCGATTACCGTTGTGGTGTTCATTATATTTTTCTTCATGAACGTCGCAATTCCAACGTTCCATAATATCAAATTATTAATAAAAGGCGACAGTAGCATATCGTTCAAACCCGCTTATAATACGCTTTTTATCCTATCGTGTTACGTATTTTTTAATATCGTTTCGAATACCAAAGCCGCAATTCTCGGCTTATTGATGTCCACGTTTTATATTGCATTAGGAGTCCTCTACAATTGGGAATCTATCCAAGAAAGACCCGTAACCGTAAGTTGCTGATTTTTATTAAATTTGTTTATTTTTGTTTAACTAGACGCAAAATCAATCATTTTTTATCGTGATCATCAAAACGTTAAAATTTGTTTAAGGTCGTCTGCGATATAATTTATTTACTCTGCATAAATGGATTTGGAATGTACTTTCGATTGGTAACTGAAATTATGAAAAGGATTAGTTTGTTGGATAGAAGAGATTTGGTTGAATCTACGCTTAAACTTGAATTCGAAAAGGAACAAGAGGTAAGAAAAAAATTTATTTATAAATGTTATAACAAAATTTTTATCTCAGGAAATAAATGAGATTTCTTGAATCTTTAATTATTTAAATAATTTCATTAAAATTTTCCATGAAATGGCTTATTCAGGAATTTTTAAATTAATACCAAAATAATTGTACAACTTGCAGTTGCTAAATAACTCGTTTACTTCAAAAATGTTTATCTCAAGATCTAAATGAGATTTCTAAAATTGGTTTGAAGTGTTACAAAGTAGACACTTTAATTATTTAAATGGTTTTATTAAAATTTTCCATGGAATGGCTTATTTAGAAATTTTTGAATTTAATACCAAAATTATAAAACTTGCAGTTGCTAAAAAACTCGTTTACTTCAAAAATGTTTATCTCAAGATCTAAATGAGATTTCTAAAATCGGTTTGAAGTGTTGAAAAGTAGACACTTTAATTATTTAAATAATTTTATTAAAATTTTCCATGAAATGGCTTATTCAGGAATTTTTGAATTTAATACCAAAATAATTATAAAACTTGCAGTTGCTAAAAAACTCGTTTACTTCAAAAATGTTTATCTCAAGATCTAAATGAGATTTCTAAAATCGGTTTGAAGTGTTGAAAAGTAGACACTTTAATTATTTAAATAATTTCATTAAAATTTTCCATGAAATGGCTTATTCAAGAATTTTTGAATTTAATAATACCAAAATAATTGTAAAACTTGCAGTTGCTAAAAAACTCGTTTACTTCAAAAATGTTTATCTCAAGATCTAAATGAGATTTCTAAAGTTGGTTTAAAGAGTTGAAAAAAAGACACTTTAGTTATTTAAATAATTGCATTAAAATTTGCCATGAAATAAATCATTCATAAATTTTTAAATTTAATACCAAAATACTTATAAAACTTAAAGTTGTTTAAAAACTCGTTTATTTCAACAATTTATATCTCAAGATCTAAATGAGATTTCTAAAATCGATTTAATGGATTGAAAAGCAGATGCTTTAATTAATAATTTACAATAATTTGGCACCGGAGAAAGTGTTGACCCTTGTAGCGTTTATGGTCGTAGATCGATGACGTTCCAATTTGATTTAGAATATTCTTTGGTGTAAGAACGACCGAAAAAGTTGTTGCATGTAGCACGATATACAGGTGTTTACGGTCTTGTGATTTTATTTTCATGGAGTCCTAACATCTCAAAAGAAGGTTTAATAACCTTCTTTAAAAATGTTTTAACAAAAGTTGCATAATAACAGAGGTATCGTGCTAAGTTATTGTTCAAACGTAGCCCTTCTGCTGCCAATCTGGAATATAATCGTGTACTGCGCAACCGTTGTAATCATCAATGCAAAAACGCTAAAAGATTGCACTACTGTCAGAGGTTGTCTGGAGCCACTCATAAGACTTTTGGAAAACAATGCGATCACTTGTTATAGAGTCTCCCACAAATCTACCCACTCTTGATGCTGCTGCTCTAGCGGAGTATTTTGCGGATCCCCCGGTGGTGGTTGGTAACATAACTAGGCAGAATACTATTAATGAAATCCTAGCATCTACCAACGCAAGTCCAAGTTCACTAGTATCGGAGCAGATGGTATTGGACTCAGATTCCTCTTACCCATTCTGGATATAGTTATTACTCCTCTAACACATTTTTTCAACTGTTCTTTTGAACAGTCTATATTTCCGTCAATCAGGCGAATCGCCCATGTTATTCTTATCCCAAAAATTAAATCTCCGTCCCATGTTGGTGACTTTGGACCCATTCTATCTACAACGTAGATAGAATAGAACGATAATAAGAAAGATAATAAAAGATATTGAACGTTTAGCTTATTTACAGATTCAGAAATATCTTGAGAAACAAGATAAAATAAGACAAGTTCCAGTCTGGTTTTCGTGAGGGGCATGGTACTACTACAGCACTGATTAAGATCACCGATGATATTTGATCTGCTTATGATAAGCGTTCTGTTACCTTGCCAGTGTTACTTGATTTTAGTAAGGCCTTTGATTCTGTGGACCATGCCCTCCTGTTAACTAGGCTTTCTGCTATTGATTTTACCTCTTCTTGTATATCTTGGTTCCAGTCCTACCTTTCCTATCGGTCTTTACGTGTCCGCGTGGAATCTGTACTCTCTTCTCCTGTTGACATCAAATGTGGAGTTCCCCAGGGCAGTGTGCTGGGTCCTTTGCTCTTTTCAATTTTCATAAATACATAGTATTAGTGATAGTATCTCGTGTAACTATCATTTATATGCAGATGACCTTCAACTTTATATTTCGTCAACTGTTAACAACCTCTCAGATGCTTTGTTGCATCTTAACAACGATCTCTCTAGCGTGCTTGAATGGTCTAGACGTCATGGATTTAATCTGAATTCAGGTAAAACGCAAGCCATTACATTTGGCACTCGCGCCTTGCTGGCACAATTTAATTCCTTAACTACCCTTCAACTGAGGCTTGGCGACACCGTTATTCCATTTTCTAATACGGTCAAAAATCTTGGTGTAGTAATGGATTCTGTTTCCATACTTTGAAAAATCTTCGCTGCTACCTCCCTCCTGTTGTACGTCGTAGTCTTTGTTATTCTCTCATTTTCCCACACGTTGATTATGCTGATGCTGCGTATCCCGATCTGTCCGCAGCTCTTCGGGATAAATTGGAAAGACTTCAGAACAATTGTATACATCACTTCATATCATAACAACCTGCAGATGATGACTTGCCAGAGTCGGAGATCATTTCGTATACTTACTATGATGTACAAAATTGTCCACACCCGCACTCCTGCTTATTTAATAATAATAATAATATATAATAATAATGCCTTTATTAACCCTTACAATTAGTGTACAAGTATAAAAAAAAACAAAATACAAAAACATAATAATAATAAGAAATAAGTATAATGTTACAAAAACAAAATTACAACAAAATTGCAAAGGCTAACAGGTGGCTGAGTCAGACAACACTACAAAGTAGTGAGGTCTGCTCTTCCCCCAGTCCCCATGAACACAACATNCTTATTAGAGCTGTCCGTAAGGAGAGCTTTCACTGTAATAGAAATGGGTAGGACAAGTTCCAGTCTGGTTTTGGTGAGGGGCATGGTACTACTACAGCACTGATTAAGATCACCGATGATATTAGATCTGCTTATGATAAGCGTTGTGTTACCTTGCTAGTGTTACTTGATTTTAGTAAGGCCTTTGATTCTGTGGACCATGCCCTCCTGTTAACTAGGCTTTCTGCTATTGGTTTTACCTCTTCTTGTATATCTTGGTTCCAGTCCTACCTTTCCTATCGGTCTTTACGTGTCCGCGTAGAACCTGTACGTACTCTCTTCTCCTATTGACATCAAATGTGGAGTTCTCCAGGGCAGTGTGCTGGGTCCTTTGCTCTTCTCAATTTTCATAAATACATAGTATTAGTGATAGTATCTCGTGTAACTATCATTTGTATGCAGATGACCTTCAACTTTATATTCCGTCAACTGTTAACAACCTCGCAAATGCTTTGTTGCATCTTAACAACGATCTCTCTAGCGTGCTTGACTGGTCTAGACGTCATGGACTTTACCTGAATTCAGGTAAAACGCAAGCCATTACATTTAGCACTCGCCCCTTGCTGGCACAATTTAATTCATTAACTACCCTTCAACTGAGGCTTGGCAACACCGTTATTCCATTTTCTAATACGGTCAAAAATCTTGGTGTGGTAATGGATTCGGCGATGTCTTGGTGGCCATAAGTTTGTTATTCTCTCATTTTCCCACAGGTTGATTATGCTGATGCTGCGTATCCCGATCTGTCCGCAGCTCTTCGGGGTAAATTGGAAAGACTTCAGAACAATTGTATACATTACTCCATATCGTAACAACCTGCAGATGATGACTTGCCAGAGTCGTAGATCATTTCGTATACTTACTATGTTGTACAAAATTGTCCACACCCGCACTCCTGCTTATTTGTCTGATGCCTTTCACTTTTTAGCATCACATGATGTGCCCACGCGATCAATGTCGGACTCTGCACTCATGTTTCCAGTCCATAGTACTGAAATCTAGCACAGATCTTTTACAGTACAGACGATTGCGTAGTGGAACGATTTGCCTGCCGTTGTTCGCAATGCAGCTAGTTTAATAAGTTTTAAAAATGCCTTGAGGTGCCATCTGCTATATCTTCAACTATCTTCTTCTTGACCTATACGTGTTTGTTTTCTTCTGTAGTCTGCCTTTCATCAATCTTTTACTACACTTTTTTTTGTGTGTATTTCCTTCCTTGTAGTAACTGACTGTCGATCCGTTACATAACTCAAATATGCTCATTCGTTCAGTTTTATTAGCACATCATTTAGTATTACTTTTTTTGATAGCCTTTTTTTGGTATTTTATTAATTTTAAAAAAAATTTTGTAGTTTTTTTTTAATTTTTAAGCATATTAACTGAAACGGTTTTTTTTTCATGGATTCTACTTTACCATTGTTCGATGGTTTCCATGAAAATTAAAATTATGATACATTGTCGTTCTCGTTGACTTGAAAATCTTCAAGGTTCTTCCAAAAGGCTCTTTCGCTTTCGAATGAGCCTTCCCGGGGAAGCTTTAACTTGCCTCCGCTGCTTTGCGGTACTTGATTTCCTAAGAAAAATGATAGGGTGTCTTGAACAGAAACAAAACAATGTTAGAAGCTTGTTGAAATTGTCATCGGTTCCTCTTTTATTGGTTCTTCTTCCATGTTTTTGAGAGTCGGCCCAGTTATGGGATTGTTTGATTACTTTGCGAGAGAGCTACGTTGTTGCTTTTTTTTTGCCTCCCTCAACTTCAACGCTTCCATGTTCTTCCATGTTTTCGAGAGTCGGCGCAGTTATGGGATTGTTTGATTACTTTGCGAGAGAGCTACGTTGTTGAACAACATCTTTTAATTAGTATAATATTGACACTGCCATCACTCTGTGGTAAGTTTTTCGCCCATATCTGTAGAGATGGCATTGTTGGCTCTGGATGCAGTACACTTTTTGCGCGTTTTTAAATTCAACGGATGTGATATATGTTCTTCAAGTCATTACGGAGTGCGATGGAAAATAATGTTTGAATCTCAGGCCTACTCTTAAAGACGATTGTTAAAAAAAATCCTTATATATTTTTTCGTCTAGTATCTTTAATTCAAAACAAATTTTTGTTATTTATTATGGGATTATTAAAACTTTGATTGCAATCATTAAATAAAATTATTCTTTTATGTACTGTTATTGAAATTAAGAAATCTTAAAAAAGACATGTTATTATTGCATTAAAAATTTAAACGGTTAGAATGAACAGGTTTAGAAATTTCTGGATTAAATCGATACGATGATATCACACTGAAAAAAAAAATCAATTATATTAATTGAAGGTCCAATTAAGTACATAGTGAGATATACACAAGAAAATAAAATCATAATATCGATTTTTATGGTTTTAATTACTAGCCACTTGAAATCGGATGTAATTATTTGATTATCATCAGTTAATTTTTTTGTTCCAAGTCCCATTTGTTATCAAAGTATTTTCGTACAATCATCGATATCGTTAGATATTAAAAAGCTGCAATTAAATGTATATGCTTACTGTATTGATGTTTAACCAGGACTACTTACACGACTATTATGATTTATTTTATTGTTAATATTAAAAATAATAATATCAATTAATAATTATCATTTAATTGTAGGAACAACTTATGGCGAGTATAATTCCGGTACACGCCATAGCTAAGATTAAACAAAACGCTGAAGAAAAAGTTAAGACAATCAGAGATGCAGGGGAATACCGCGACATAAGCGTATGGTAAAACAAATCAAAAAAAATCGATTGTATTTCTTTCTATTTTTGTATTTTATTTACAAAGGAAACAGCTCGACATTCAACAACACGCCAACGTCACAATTCTTTACGCGGATATAGTTAATTATACACGGATGACGACCACTTTGAAATCTCTCGAACTCGTTGAAACCCTCAACGAATTATTTGGAAGATTCGACGACGCTTCGGATGAATTAAAAGTGTTGCGAGTCAAGTTTTTAGGAGATTGTTATTATTGCGTGGCCGGATTGGAACCGGATAAAATCGCTGATCACGCTGATGCCTGCGTTAATCTTGGACTTAGAATGATTAAAATTATACAGGAAGTTAAGTAAGTACACTAAATCTTTATTTATAAATACGAAAACATGATGTATTTTTTAAGGAAAAAAACATTATTACCAATCGATATGCGAATAGGAATCCATACCGGTGACATTCAAAGTGGAGTTATTGGAGATCGGAAATGGCAATTTGATATTTGGTCAAAAGACGTTAGTATTGCAAATAGAATGGAAACAACGGGAAAACCAGGGTGAGCTTTAACACAATTTTTAGCTTGGTAAATCTATCTGGGTATGTGAAAGTCAAATGCCCCATAGCAAATGTCTAGAATTGATTTTACGTCAACGATTACCTATCTATAAGAGTTTTTATTATTAACTAAAAGTTTACAATTTTCTGTACAGGGTGTCCAAATTTCGATGGGTTTGCAGGGTATCTCAGTTATTATGAACGATAGAGAGTTGCGGCTTTCGCGAACCTGAGCTACTTTTTTGTGAAACTTACAATGGCGCAAACCAAATTTTCATAGCCTTCTTCGTTTTTGATATACAGGGAGTGTTTCAAAATTTACGATTTTCAGACACCTCCTGTATCCCGGCTATCCGGAAACGTAAAAACGGTGCACGTAAAATTTTTCTAGTCATCACGGTTTTTGAGTTATAAAGAGTTAAGTATTTTAGAAGTTGAGTATTTAGTATTTGTATAAGTAACACTAGATATGGTGTATTGGTGTAAGGGAGAGAACCTCTCAATAAACCCGCAAAAGACAATTGTTGTGCCCTTCACCAGGAAGCGAAAGTTGGATGGACTAATCCGCCCAACTATTCAAGGTGAAGAAATTCCTTTCTCAAAGGAAGTCAAATATCTAGGAGACAAAACCCTGTCATGGAATGGACATTTGCAGGGAGTTTTGCACAAAGCTAGACTATCCTTGTGGACTTGTCACAGTCTTTGTGGAAAAAATTGGGGTCTTACCCCTGAAAGACTGTACTGGCTCTATGTGACTGTGGTTAGACCTATGGTCACATACGGAGCAGCAGCCTGGTATAGGAAAGTCCGACAGACTTCAGTTATCAGTAAACTTTCACGAATTCAACGAGTAGCTGGATTGGCAATCTCTGGTGCGATAGGCACAACGCCAACTCTAGCAATGGAGGTTCTGCTTGGCCTATCTCCTCTGCATTTGCATATAGAGAAAGTGGCTAGAACAACCATTTACAGATTTAAGCAATATGCTCAAAACTGTTCCGACATGTCCTACCAATGGGCTGCGGAAGACATTATAAGCACTGATACTGTGCTATCAATGCCGTCAGATTTGGCGGTATCACTATCAGTGATTAATGCTCGATACCAGATTGTACTGCCTGAGCGGCAGTCCTGGATCGAAAATGAAAATTCTCTGGTTCGGGCAGACATTTGCTTGTACACAGATGGATCAAAAACGCCTGAAGGGGTAGGAGCAGGAGTATACTGCCAGACACCTCGAATTAAGCAAGCCTACAGCCTGGGTACGTACTGTACTGTATTCCAGGCGGAAGTATTTGCTATTGACATGGGTGCTAAAATCCTTCTTGAAAGAGGGGTGAAGAACATGACAGTACGAATTTTCTCAGACAGTCAAGCCGCTCTCCAGGCGCTGCAAGCCGTGAAAACGGTGTCGGCTCTGGTTAATGATTGTAAGAGAACATTAAACACACTGAGTTGTGATAACAGAGTCTCTCTGATCTGGGTCCCGGGTCACTCTGGGGTTGCTGGCAATGAAGCGGCAGATAAGCTAGCACGAGATGGCAGCGCTGAAGCGTTTGTGGGACCGGAACCAGCAGTTGGTGTATCATTTGCGATGGCCAAATATAGGATTGGACTGTGGGCTGAAGAGAGACTTCGCCTACTGTGGACCAGTTCTCCTGGAATGAGACATGCTAAGGTGTTTATTAACATCGCCACTGTCAAACCCGGGAATATTTTAGGACTTGCCCGTAGTAGCATAAAAGTTCTAATGGGTGTTTTTACTGGGCACTGCCGATTAAAAGCACACCTCAACTTGTTGGGTTTAGCCGACGATGTTGAATGCCGACTATGTGCGGAGGAAGCAGAGACGGTTGAGCATGTTTTATGCCACTGCCCTGCCGTTAACCGTATCAGATTCTCGATTTTTGGGTCGCAGTTTATCTCCTCAAAAGATCTGAATGACCTTTCGCCGAGCAAGGTATTAATGTTCGTTAAGAGCATTGGACTGCACGGTGAAATTTGATAACGATATCTATCGGGGTACAATAGATCCTTAGGGTCGCGGTGCAAGGTTGGTTGGTCCGCCTACCCGATATGTATTCTATGTAATGTAATGTAATTTAGTATTTGAGTTGTGTTTATAACTCAAAAACCGCGATGACTAGAAAAATTCAACGTGCACCATTGGATTCCACGTGAAAAAATCTGTTAGAACCCGTTTTTACTTTTTTACTAAGTTTCCGGATAGCCGAGATACAGGAGGTGTCTGAAAATAGTAAATTTCAAACACTCCCTGTATATCAAAAACGAAAAGGGCTATGAAAATTTGGTTTGCGCCATTGTAAGTTTCACAAAAAAGTAGCTCAGGTTCGCGAAAGCCGCAACTTTCTATCTTTCATAATAACATTAATAACTGAGATAGCCTGCAAACCCATCGAAATTTGGACACCCTGTACAATACATGACAAACCAAACATAATTTCCCTTATCAGCCCCCTTCCTCCGTTCCCTCGTGGATGAGGGGGATGGATGAGGGAGGTGGTTGGCTCCCTCATCCATCCCCTGCCTTCACATCATCCGCCCAGTACCTGTTCGCTTTCTCCTCATTACCACACCGACATCTGGCCACCAACCTATTCGCTTCCATCTCCCTCACATGCGCCGCATCCTTGCTATCCTCCCTGAACTTGTACCCCAGATATGTGAATTCTCACACCTCCTCTATCTCTCTCCCCTCCCATCTCCAATCCCCCCTCTTTCTTCTCCCCCCTTTGCAGAACCTCATCATCTTTGTCTTTGCTTCATTCACTTCCAACCCCTTCGCCCTGAAATACCTCCCCAAGTGTCTCACCATCCCTCTCATTTCCGCAGCATCTTTCGCCACAACCACCATGTCATCCGTGTACGCTAGCACATACGAACTTTTCTGCCTCTGTTACGTGGCTTTTTTTTTTACCAAACTATAATTACTCGATACAAAAAAAAATTGTTCAGTGTCTGTTGGAAAAAAAATATATTGGTGGAGTAAATGGCCGCTTGTGCTCCAGCTGGCGGGGAATAAGTTCGTGCAAAAAAAAAATATTACATCCACCCGCACCAAATTATTGTTGAGTAAAATTACGAAACTTTGCTTTAACACCGAAATAACTTTAATTGTAGAAAAATTAATCTTTACCAATAATAAAGAAATATTACAAAAGTAATAATATAAATGTATCAAAAACGAAATTAAAATAAAAAGAAACAAACTCGTTTTACTACGACGGCGCACCAGAAAACGGTAAAAAAAAAAAACCTGAAAGGAAAATCGGAACGAACCGAAATTTGGCCAAATTTTCATCGAAACCGAAAAATAAACGAACAACTTGAAAATTAAAGAAAAATGAAAAACCCGCTTCAAGGTATAGTCTTCCACACGGCGATCGATTTTTATGACTCTGTCACTTTCCTACTGTAGTTGTAAAACTAACAAAGACGGGGTTGTAACAGGTAGTTCACCATTGTAAAATGCTGGGATTCCTCACTCAGGGCGGCATTAAGGCCACACTTTACTGGCAAATTGTAGAAAAATAATAGGGTCATATATAAATACTCATTATTCTCTTATTTGTTGTGTTTCTAATATTAAGTACATATTTTTTCTAAGAAATGTTTTGAGGAGGCATGCATTGTCTACTTACAAAAGAGGGCGGAGAATAATTAGATTCTTTAAAATTTTGTTATTCTATTATTTAGACATTCCTAAAAGTAATATTTTTTTCTAAGACTTTTGTACTAGTTTTTATAGTTAAATTTTAGTTGTTATAACTTATAACTAAACTTTGGTTTTTTATTAAATTTTTGTTTAAAAAAAATTAAGTTCTACCCTGTCCTTGTATGACTGTCATAAGTCTTTTCAGGTACTCGAGCGGGCAAAAATCACCCCGGCTTTTATTTATGACTGTCATAAAAACCGATCTGGATGTGGAAGAGTATAACCACCGGTACAATGTTCAAACGTAAATGTACAAAAATTTTAACTTCTTTTCTTATCTTAATAACAACACCTACCTTTTTTTCTTTATTACAAAAAAAAATAATTTTCCAAATCCAAGATCAACAAAAGGGAGGGATTGGGCGTAATCGAAGATATAAATATTCTTATTTTTATTCTTTATATTTAGGCGAACGATGTAAAAGATAAAAAAAATATTTTAACCAACCTCTCTTTCCAGCACTTTCTTCTTTTCCTTCTTCCCCTTTACCTCAATGTTCTCGGGGTGATGTCGGAAGAATATATATATATGTATTTGGATGACCAAAGAATGTGTTCCAGGAAAGGTCGGAAGTAAGTAAAAACTATAATGAATGATTTAATCAGCGGTAAACTAAAAAAAAACTTGTTCCTTACGCCTAAGTTGTTGGGTGGCTTTAAAACGTGTAGAATCGAAATTTTTAAGTGTTTAACTCCCCGAAGGCGTTCCAAAACTAATGAATCGGTTGATGAAATCCACAAATTGTGTATTTTCCAAAGTTTTATTTCCACAAAAATTATATTTCAGTAAATCAACTACGATATCGACCAATTCAGCACACTTGCAAAAACTCGACTGTTCTTCTCAACTCGGATGTATTTTTGAAACTTGAAACAAGTTTTCTATGTCATCAACTCCAAAACAAAATTCTCCCAAATTCAACGCTGGTTCAATTTCTATTTCTTTATGTGACCACCACTCCGCCCCTTTGCCCTTTCTCCAGCCTGCCTTCCAAATCCGTAGTATACAGGGCAAAAAGGCTGGAGCTCAGTGGACACCCCTGTCCAAAATGGTTCGCTCATCGCTTTCCCGACTCTAACACTAGCTGTCCTTTGCCTGTATATCGTCTTTACCCTCTTCCTCAGCTCTTCCGTGACCCCCTCTTCTCCATCTCCTCCCACAACTTCACCCTATCACCCTAATAGGGCATACAACTTCCCTCCTTTCTTATCCAACTCTCTATCCACCAGATATTTTAAGATGTAAACGTTATCGATCGCCCCCCTACCGTTCTTAAAACCTGCCTGTTCATCCGGCAATTCTTAATCTCTTCCTCCAATCTTCCTAGCAGTATGTTCGCATAAATCTGGTATGAGGAGTTAAGTAGGCTGATTCCCCTATAGCTCTCCACTGCTCTCTTACTTCCCTTCTTCTGCACTGGGCATCTTCCAACCGTTCGGAAATCCTTTCCCTCTCCACACGTTGTTCAACGTCTCTAACAGCTTCCTTCTCACCTCTCCTGTCTCCTCCAACTATGCTTCGTTCTAAACCCCATCCTCCCCCGCCTCAAAATTGTTGTCAACTCTTCCTCCGTAATCTCCTCACCCCCCTCAGTCGTCTCCTCCATCTCGACCGCCTTCCTATCTTCTACCCCTCCCAACAAATTCATAAAGTGACTCCTCCATTCCGACATCTGTATATTGTTACTGACCTGCTCTTCTCCCTTCCTCAACTTCTTCAAATACCTCCACACCGTCTTATCTCCTTAATTTTTGCTGCCTCCCTCAACCTCAACTCAACTCCCTTTTCTTTCTCCCACATACTCCTTTCTGCCTTCTTCTTGTCTCCTTATAACTGTCCACCAGAATCTCTCCTCTCCGCCATTGCCTCAATTTTCTCCTTGCCTCCCTGCATCCTCCATCCCACCATTCGTTCCTTCCCAGAATGCGTCCCCGCCGCAAACACTCCCTCCTCGGTAATGCGTTACTCACCACATCCATCAAATCTTCCAGTTCCACGACTCCTCCTGTAGCGTTTTATCCCCTCTCCTGACCAATCTGTCTTAATATATTTTACTTCTTCGTCTCGCCGCCTTCTCCCTCCTACCCCCTTCCACTAACACATAATCTATCACGGACGCCCCCCTTGTACCCGTATAAGTATATTCCCCTTCATCACCTTCCTCCCTATTTCCATTCAGTATATCCCATCCCTCCTCCTCTGGAGGACCGTCGTCGCTCTCCCTCCCCCTACATCTCCCCTCTTCCTCCTTCTTCCCCTATTCTTGCATTAAAGTCCCCTCCAATAATCAGACATCCCTCCCTCCCCTCCTCTGTAATCGCTTTCCATTACCTTATTGTCTCTCTATCTACCTTCTCTCCCTCTTCACGTCAACGATTTACTATCACATTCATTCTGCCCTGCCAAGATAGATTTGTCAAGATATATTATCCAATTTAATTTTCTTATTTCTTAATTTATCCAATTTTATATATATTTTTTAGAAAAGTTCACATAACTAAACAAACCAAAGACCAATTAAGACAAAACTACATCATCGAACCATCCGATGCAGGTCAGAAAGATGAAATTCTCGCCCAAAATAATATAGAAACTTATATTATTTCCCCAGAAGTAATTGCTTTTACAAAACGTTCCAAGTTTAAATACTTAATTTTTTAATTATTTTAGGAGGAAATCCTTAAAGATCACCCATTAATCGAAAATTTGCGACAAAATAGTAGCACTGCAAATGGAATAGTTTCAAGAGGTAGTGATGTTTATAGTCTTAATGAAACGAGATCGACGACGAGACGAGAATCGAGGTACATTCCGCATGCGAGGAGACCAAGTGGAAATCCACATTTCGCGGGGTTAAACGGGAGAGTTAGTGGAAGGAGAAGAACGCCGAGGGATGTTAGTAGAAGAACCGCCTTTATGGATAGTAATATTAAAAGATATAGTGAACGATTAGAAAGGACCAACAAAACGATTGAAGACTCAATTGACGATTTATCTTTTACTAAATACGAGTAAGTAAACTAAATTGATTACTTATTTAATTTAATTATTTCTTTTTTTTTTAGCCAATACTTTAAGACGAAACACATCAACCCATTAACGATGACGTTTAACGATTGTAACAAAGAAATGAATTTTATCAGACATCCAGATCATATTTTCAAGTACTACATTATTGGAATACTTTTAGTTATGACTTGTATTGTGATTATTCAAAATATCAACCGACCTGAGTAAGGAGATAACTAATTATAACATAATTTTATTTAATAATTATTTTTGTTTTTAGCCTAAACCGACCAATAGGTTATACATTACTCGTAGTGTTATTATTAATTGTGCCAATCACTTGGTCAACATGCAACTTTGATTATTCGCAAAAGTTGCCCAAATTGCAAATATTTTTCGATTGGTTTAGAGAACTTTCCGAAAAAATCGTTCAAAGTGTAATTTTCAGGACCATTTTATATATTGTGATATGGCTTGCCAGTACAGGGACTGTGATATATGATATGGTAAGTTTTAGAAATAAGAAAATGTTATTTTTGTCCTAATAATAAGTGTTTTATTGTTTATAATTTAGAATTTACAATATTTCTCCAATACAATACAGGGTAATTCAAATTCGACCCCCACTATTGGGATCTCAGAAACTATAAGAGATACAGAAATGGTTAAACGAGGGCAAAGTTGCGTATCTTAGCGCTCATCATTTTTCAACAAAGTTTTTGGATCTAGTCGTTTTAGTTTTTAAAATATGGCCAAAAAACAAAAAAATGACTTTTTCGCTTTCTGCCTATAACTTCTTTATTTTTCGTTTTTTCGTGAATCTGGAAAAACATTCTTAAGGCAACTTTTTATGAAAAATTTCATGACACAACTCGAAATTTTCTCTGACATTTCGTTTTCGTAAAACGAAAAAAAACATTGGCGTTCATAAAAAAAAATAAACCTGATGATAGTTTCACGAAAACGAAACGTCGGAGAAAATTTCTAATTATGTCAAGACATTTTTCATAAAAAGTTGCCTTAGGAATGTTTTTTTTGATTCACGAAAAATAAAAAAGTTATAGGTAAAAAACGAAAAAGTAATTTTTTTTGTTTTTCGGCTATAAAAACTAACACGGCTAGATCAAAAAACTTGGTTGAAAAATGATGAGCTCTAAGATACGCAACTTTGCTCCCATTTAACAATTTCTGTATCTCTTATGTTTTCTGAGATCCTAATGGTGGGAGTCGAATTTGAATTACCCTGTATATGTATACACCCAAACTCTCTACCCTCCTCCCCCATCTCCACACCCTCGGCTCCTCGCCCCAATCACCTCCCTCATCCATCTTTTGCTTTCACCTCCCTCTCCCAAAATCTGCTTCCTGTCCATCCCCTCCTCCCTTAGCTCACTACACCCTCTCAGCATGTGTTCCAGCATCTTCCAAGTCTCTCCACACATCCTACAGCACCTCTCCACATCGCCCGTCCAGTACCTGTTCCTTCTCCCCTCATTGCCACAGCGGAATCTAGCCACCAATCCCTCATCATCCCACTCCATCAACAGATACTTTTGCACTATCTTTCCATACCTTTCATTATATTCTCCCTTCTCGTATGTTCACCTTCTTTCTTGCCTCTGTATGTCCCTCTCCCTATCTTTCAGTTTTCTCCGCATTTCAACTCTCTCCACTCTTCTGTTGTTGATCCCAGTTAGAAAATATCCTACTCTCTTATTATATCCTTCCCTATCTCTCCGCCTGTATATTAGCCTCCTCTCCTTAATGTCCCTCCAGCACTCTTCCAGGATCCTGCAATGCGGTCTTCCTTCTTTAATTTCCTCGTACTTCACTGCTCTTCTCCCAGCCTCCACCCTTTCTGCATTCATCTTAACCACCTTCCTCATTACATATCCTGGAGTCTCCCTCGCCAACCCTAATACCCATCTCCAATACCTTGTTTGTACATCCTCCACCAATCCTTGTTCTCTCCATCCCCATACTTCTGCGCCGTACATCATTGTGTTCCTCACCAAGCCCTCAGCCTCTGTAGCCACGACCACCAAATCATGCGCATACGCCAACACGTGCACCTTTGTTCCTCCTATCACCACCCCACCTATTTGCCCCCTAACAAGTTTCTGACAAGTGTGGGACTAAGCGGGCACCCTTGTCTTAATCCCTTCCTTGTACAGGTGTCCCAATTTCGATGTCCGCATAGGCTATCTCCGAAACTAAAAGAGATAGAAAAAAAGTAGCTTACATGTCATGATCTCGTTTTTCGAGAAAATGCTAATGCCGAAAACTCCGAACAGCTATCGTCTTTTGTTTTCGTCCTATCGGCAAAAACTGAAAATTATGCGAAAACGACAATCGCGAATATCTCACTTATTATCAAAGATGGAGTATTATAAATAAAACATTATATGGGCAACTTTTTACGAAGAATTNAATGTTTTATTTATAATACTCCATCTTTGATAATAAGTGAGATATTCGCGATTGTCGTTTTCGCAAAATTTTCAGTTTTTGCCGATAGGGCGAAAACAAAAGACGATAGCTGTTCGGAATTTTCGGCATTAGCATTTTCTCGAAAAACGAGATCATGACATGTAAGCTACTTTTTTTCTATCTCTTTTAGTTTCGGAGATAGCCTATGTGGACATCGAAATTGGGACACCCTGTACAGAATACCTCGCTTAACTCTTCCTTCACTTTAACCTTGGCCATCGTCTCCCTGTACGTCGTCTTTACTCTGTCTCTATCAGCTCTTCTGTGATACCTCCTCATTTCCTCCCACATCTTCCCTCTATCCACCTTATCAAATGCCGCATTCAGGTCTACAAACAATGCATACAATCTTCCTCCCTTCTTCTTCAACTCCCTATCTGCCAGGTGCTTCAATATGTATACAGGGTGTTTCATAATATATGCGCAGGACTTATCCTCTAAAATGCACCATTTTCGAGATACAGGGTGCTGAAATTTAATAAAAAACATCGTTTTTTGCGAATATCTCCGGCACAGAAAACAGCTTTTGTAACCATTTTCTACGCATAATAAGCTAAGTTTTGAGCGAGAAAAAGAATTTTTAAAGTCATAATTGGTGAACATTTTGAAGGGGTAGTGGTTGTTTTTCTCCCCAACTCTACGCCACTGGAAAAAGTACGGTTTTGAGACGCCCATTTGAACCGCCAATGTTTTCTACACAAAAAAGGTACTGAAGATCATGAGCTCTAAAGTTGACCGTTTTCGAGACACAGTTAAATTAAATGTTCAAAATGGCGGACATTTTAGTTAGCTTCAATGTACGCAGCAATTCTTCGACGCATTGAGTGTCTAACACGTAGGAAAATTCCCGGAGTATTCCGAATTATATCGCAAGATACAACAATGCGCTCTCTTAATTGGTCAACATTTTCAACTGGAGTAGCATAGACTAGGGTTTTCAGATGGTCCCAAAAGAAAAAATCTAAACAATTAAGTTTGGGAGATTGTGGTGGCCAAGGGTGCGGATCTCCTCGACCGATCCAACGGTCTGGGTATTCGTCGTTCAAGTATTGGCGAGCAACCAAACTAAAGTGGGTCGGAGCTCCATCATGCATAAAGTACATGTTTTGTCTTACTTGAAACGGTACATCTTCCGACAGTACTTCTTCTAGAAATTGTCGATAATTTACACTGTTGAATCTGTTCGGGAAAAAATTTGGGCCTAAAAAATAAACATTACGGAAAATTGTTGCTGATGATGGCTTTCTGCAATTTTATGTGGATTTTATTCTGCCCATATGTGGTTATTGTGAAAATTGAAAATACCATCTTCGAGAAAGATGCTTTATCGGTAAACAGAACTTCGGCTCCAAGCTCAGGATTTTGAGCTATTTTGTCTTGCATCCGTGTACAAAAAGCCAATCTTGGTGGAAAACCTCTTTTCTTTGTAGTCTTTGGATATGGTAGAGATACAAAAGTTGCCTTTTCAAAATTCTCCAAACCGTCGAGTGAGATAGGTTTAAGTTGTGAGCAATTTTTCTGGTCCTCTTCTACTTGGGGATTTGCAACTTCGATAGGTCGCCCATTATCAGCAGGAATCCTTTTAAAACTTCCATTTTCCCATAGTCGTTGGTGAATGCGTAGAAACAAGTTATGGTGTGGTACTGGGCGATCAGGATGTCTTTCTTGATACAACCACCTTGCTTCTGCCGAATTACCGCACGCCATTCCGCAAAGGTAATGCATTTCGCACATTTCAGAGTTTGTGTAATTCATTTTTAATTTTGTAATACAAGTTTACTTTTTGCAGGTACAAACTAATTGTTATTTTGACGGGAGGTAGCTTTTGTTATATAATTTAAAGCCTACTTGTAAAAATAAATTATACCATTTTTTACAAAAATGGTATAATTTATGCTGAAATGTGTTATCTTTACGGTTTGGAGAAAGTAGAAACTTAGCTTATTATGAGTAGAAAATGCTTACAAAAGCTGTTTTCTGTGCGATAGCCGGTTCCGGAGATATTCGCAAAAAAACAATTCTTTTAATTAAATTTCAACACCATGTATCTCGAAAATGGTGCATTTTAGAGGGTAAGTTGATAGAAACTTTTTTTCAAATTTTTGGACAAGCTATCACATCCTGAAGTCCTGCGCATATATTATGAAACACCCTGTATACATATTGAAACACCTGGCAGATAGGGAGTTGAACAAGAAGCGAGGAAAGTTGTATGCATTGTTCATAGACCTGAAGGTGGCATTTGATAAGGTGGATAGAGGGAAGATGTGGGAGGAAATGAGGAGGTATCACAGAACAGCTGATAGAGAAAGAGTAAAGGAGATGTACAGGGAGACGATGGCCAAGGTTAAAGTGGAGGAAAAGTTAAGCGAGATATTCTGTACAACAAAGGGATTAAGACCCTTCTTAGTCCCATACTTGTCACAGACTTGTTAGAGGGCAAATAGGTGGGGTGGTGATAGGAGGAACAAAGGTGCATGTGTTGGCGTATGCGCATGATTTGGTGGTCGTGGCTACAGAGGCTGAGGGCTTGGTGAGGAACACAATGATGTACGGCGCAGAAGTATGGGGATGGAGAGAACAAGGATTGGTGGAGGATGCACAAACAAGGTATTGGAGATGGGTACTAGGGTTGGCGAGGGAGATTCCAGGGTATGTAATGAGGAAGGAGGTTAAGATGAATGCAGTAAGGGTGGAGGCTGGGAGAAGAGCAGTGAAGTACGAAGAAATTATAGAAGGAAGACCGCATTGCAGGATCCTGGGAGAGTGCTGGAGGGACATTAAGGAGAAGAGGCTGATGTATGAGCAGAGAGATAGGGAAGCATATTATAGGAGAGTAGGATATTTTCTAACTGGGATAAGGGTTGCTTGTCGACGCGTCGACATTTTTGTTGACACTTGACCTCGACGTACTTATTCGACACGTCGACAATGTCAAATGTTGACAACGTCAACAATTCGTTTTTTGAGGTTATATTCATTTAATGTATAGTGCGATTAGAGCGTGGTGATGGTATTATGAAACACTCTGTATATTGTCAATTATTAGTAATAGAGTTTCAGCGTCAATTTTGTGAGTGGTGGGATAGCAATCTACCTTACTTCTCCTTTGAACTTTTAAATTAGGTTTTGTGACATTGAGTTGGTGAATTTCTAACTTGCTAGTTTCTTTAGGATCTTGCCTTGGATGTCTTAGAAGCATCTCTTTGGCTCACTTGCTAAATAAATATGCTTCTGCCTAATATGATATAGAAAAAAACTTGTTTAATATAGCATTTGTTAATTGTATTTTGTTTTTAGCTTGGATGCGAATATTTTGATGGAAATTCTAGCAACACCACCAAATTGATTAGGTCTGTACTTTATTTAGGAAGATCAGATATTGATACCAATAACGGTGAATATTGTATGGACCCATGGGTAAGAATAACTCAAATATTAATGCGTTTAAAACATGAATTAAGTTATTTCACATTTTAGCATATGACAGAGACAATCTCTTTAGCAATAATTGTAAATTTTACATTTCTCCGAGTACACATGCTACTAAAGTTAATCTCAGCAATCAGCGTGACGCTACTTTATTCATTACTTTTAATAAGATTCGACGAAAAATATTTTAAATCCTCCGAAATATACAACATAGGCATTACCTCTTCGACCGCTCATATTCTCCACGTTGTTTTTCTATCGTTTGCTTTACACTGCATCGATCGACAAACAGATTTTATGACACGACTTGATGAGATGTTAAACGTTGAACAAGTTGAAAAGGAGCAAGAAGAGAAGGCTTTAAAAACTGCTAATGCGTTACTTATTAATAACATTTTACCAATTCATGTCGGTAAGTTAAATTAAATTAAGTTCTTCTATTTATCTGGTTTGTTTAAATTGTTTTATTTTTAGCCCAACATTATTTAAGTATGAGTCACGAAGCTGGAACATTATATTACGAAGAATACTCAGCAACTAAACCTGTAGCGGTTATGTTTGCCGCAATAATTTATCAATCATCGGATTCAACGGATAAAACTTTCCTAACATGCATGAACAATCGCATCGTAGATTTCGATCAAATTTTAATGCAAAAATACGAGCATCAAATTGAAAAGATCAAAATAGCTAATTGGACTTATATGGCAGCGTGCGGATTAGATGTGGGGAGAAGAGATTCATTTAGCCAAGTAAATTTAACACCCACGGGACGTAGGGATCATTTCGTCGTTTTAACCCTATTAGAGTTTGCGGCAAAAATTTTAAAAGACCCACACGACAGCTTCGTAAAATCTTTCGATTTACGAATCGGCGTCTCTCACGGAGAAGTAACCGCGGGCGTAGTTGGATCAAGAAAACCTCTTTATGATATTTGGGGTGATGCGGTGAATATGGCGTCAAGGATGGAAAGTACAGGGGTGGTTGGTCGAATTCAAGTGACGGAAAATACGGCTATGATAGCGCAAAGTTTAGGGATTGCTTGTGAATATAGAGGAAGAATTAGAGTGAAAGGTAGAGATACGGAAATTCCCACATATTTCATACAGGTCGATGATAATGGAAAACTTGTGAAATCTTGAGACAACAAACGATTTTTATCGATGAGATAAAGTTACTTTTGGAGGAAATCGACCACAAAATGTAATATACAGATTGGAGTAAAAAAAATTGAGAAACAGGGTCAAAAACTTCGTTGTTGGAGAGAATAAGAAATCAAAATACGTACATATAAGTATTTTCTGACGGATTTATTTTTTTGTAAATATAGCTTTAAGTATACACACAAACATAAGATATTTATTATAATTATTTATGTTAATTTCGCCCAGTCAAATAAATATTTTTGATTTACCTATGATGTTGTTTATAAAATTCTTCTAGTTTATCGATAATGATTTTGTTTCATTTTGATTATTATTGTAGATTCCTTGCTTTGTAAATTGAACTAATACTATTAAATATGTTGCAATCGATGATAACACCTAAAACAAGATTTTCTTAAATTAACCACAAAAATAAAAAAAGGTTATTTTTTTCAATTACATAAAATTCATATTAATTTATAGTAATTAGTTGCCATTGCAGAATCGGAATAATATATTAAAAAACAAGTTTCGTAAGACACGCTTGAAATGCACGAATTCAAGTTGAAGTCTTATGAAACGTGTTTTTTATGCTATTTTTTGTAATTCGCGTTTTTATCCTTTTTTTTTAACAAAAATAAAATAAATTTTGACAATGTAGGGAAATAGGTATGTAGCAGTTGGTAACACCGTAACACTTGAAAATAGAAATTTGAATTGACAATTAGAAACTGTCAAAACAAAATGTATTCACCTGAAAAAAATGTTTCATGTACACCTCCCAAAATAAGAGAAATTGCTCAGAGTCAATGTCCTCATCATTGTGGACCTTGTATTCGATGCTAAGAACGTGTTTAAACATCCATAGACAAAAATTGTCACATTGACAACTAGAAAAATTAATGATCCAATGTCACCAACTTGAACTGGTTCCATAAAATGTTACTAAAATCTCATTACAGCATCGGATACTGTAAGGAGTCTCATTACAGCACCCGTTTGAGTACTGTTAGAGCTTTCATTACCGTCGCGAATTACAAAAAATGATTTAAGGTTTCTTTCTGTTGCTTTGAACCATGTTTTTTACATACAGTCAATTTCACTTAAGATGCAATATACAAACATATATTTCCATACAAACCAGGGCGTACCTATTTACTTTGTCCCATATAAAATGCAACATGTCAATATATATTTGAACTTGCAGAAAAACCTCGATATAACGGAATCCGAATAAATCCGAATGATTCTAATTCTTGATCTAGCGCTGCATAACAATTAAACCTAGAACTAATACTAGACTGTACGATGATATACGAGATCATGTACAATATTTATTGAATTTTAAAAATTAATTTGATTCTACCACATTTTATATGTTGTTCTTGGATTATTTATTTTCGATCTGCTTTTTGTTTTTTTTATAAATTATATAACAAATCTTTTTTTTTCAATACTCCCCCTTCCGTGAAAAACGAATTAATAAGAGGATTAAGGTAAAACAATGGCACAAGTTAAGAAAGTAATATATTAGTAATAAAAAAATAACGATTATATGTTAAAATGTACTTTCCTATTCGAGGATAACACATGTTTATGTATTTCCGAATTATTAAATTTAATACTTTCGTTAAAGCTAAACGCGGGCTTAAGGCGATCGATATTAACAATAATTTTATCATTGCCTTTCTGAATTACGAAATATTTGGTTGATTTTGTAAGAACTTTGAAAGGTCGTTCCTATCGCGGAGATAACGATGGTTTCAAACCTTCAATTCTAATGAAAACGAAATTTGATTTGTGCAAGTCTTTATAAATAAAAGGTTTTTGAACAGAGTGAAAAGACGTATTCACTGGTTTTAATTTTGATAAAGTGTTGTGGTGAGGCCGCCTCTGAACGGTCTCGACCTTTGGTAATACCGCTGCCACCAGAAACAGTATTTCGCGCTTCCTAATTCTTAGTCTGAAGGACTCCTAATTGATCTTAGCAAGTCAATCAAAACTAAATGACAAGCGCGAGGTCACTATTTCAGAACCGTGGGTTCTGCACTAAGACTCTGTCAGGAAAAGGGGAAAATCAAAAGACAAGTGTTCTAACCACACTTAAACTATATTAACAAAATAACAAGTAAAAATAAACAATGAACAAAAAAATGAACCTTAAAATCTACCTACGCTTATTTCTGACCCAACGTTACTTAAAAAGAGATATTCCTGAATCTAACCTCGACAGCTAATATTCTGATTGTGATTGTCTTGAAAAAGGTCTTACAAGCTCTTAAGTAACCTCGGGTGTTGGAGGGGTGCAAAAACCTTCTTGAGGTGTTCCTATCACCTGGATGTCTCCAACACCTGGGCCAAAACGGGGCGGATGTTTTACAATAATTTTCTGAGCCAATGAGGGAATTTGGGGAAGGGAATAATTTTTGACCACGGGGCCAGAAGATAACATCCGCCACTAGCTAATCCCAAAAATCATCACGTAAATCCCAAACTGTGGGAGCCATCAAACTTTACGTTTTCTAACGTCTATTGTATTTTTAACGACTTTTTCGTTATCTACGTTCCCCCATAAATTTGCTGATACGTTAATCTTTCCCAAAATTTATTTCGACGTTTGGGCACCATCCCGGACGTCAGTCGTAAACGCGAGACGTGATTTTTGGTTTTTAGACGAAAAAGGTTGCACGCCAGGAATATACAATTCGTATGGTTTACTCCCAAAACCATTAAATAATTCCCGAATTATTACACCAGGTCTAATGTTAGTTCTAGTGACAGTGCAAGTATACTAGAACTAACACTGAACCCAGATATAGAAACATTAGGATTTAGCCACACGTCTCTCAAGATGGCTAAACCCAAATGATTCTAGTTCTAGGTCAAATGTTAGTTCTAGTGACAGTGCCAGGTGCATAACAATAAGATGTTATTTTTGGTAAAACGGCGTTTTATGTTTAAATTGATTCAAGGATTATTTTATTATGATAAAAATTAAATTTTAGGCTATATTTTAAAGCGTCCTCTAAAACTATTTATATATTTTCATCATGCCTTAGTTCTGAAACTTTTAATATCACAATAGGGCAACACCTTTTTACGATTTTTCCTGAAAAACTTCTGCAACTGAATAATATTGTAAATGTAAATGACAATAACTCTTCTTATCCATTCAACATATGGGATTGTAGCTTTAACTAAAGTAACAATTTTCTGAAAGAACATTGTAATCATCCCAGTAAACAAGAAACCTCTGTGAAACATTATTACGTGACAGATACGATTTTTACGAAACGTATCTAAAAATATGTATCAAACACATTTCAGTAGAAATATTTATGAAATATCATTAAAATATGTAGCAGAAACATTTCATTTGAAACATTTCGCTACAAATGTGTCTGAAACATGTCTGGAATATCTTCAGCATCGCCTGTGAACATTAATTAATGTTTGTAAACAGAACTAACCTAAGGTAACATTCCTTCACGGTTTAATTGACAGTTCAAAAGAAAACTTCACGCTATAATTGGCATTACTAATTACTAAAGAAAACTTCACGCTATAATTAATGTTTGTAAACAGAACTAACCTTAAGTAACATTCCTTCACGATTTAATTGGCATTTCAAAAGAAAACTTCACGCTATGATTGGCATTACTAATTACTAAAGAAAACTTCACGCTATAATTAATGTTTGTAAACAGAACTAACCTTACCTAACATTCCTTCGCGGTTTAATTGGCATTTCAAAAGAAAACTTCACGCTATAATTAATGTTTGTAAACAGAACTAACCTTACGTAACATTCCTTTTAGGGCTCGGATTTTATGCAAAATGTATTTTGTTTATTTTCTGGAATATTTTTTTGAAAATTGGTTTCTGGGCGAATTACATAGAAATAAGGCAGATGGTACAATAATAAAATTGCATATTTTAATTATTTTACATATTTTTACAATTTTTGTTGCATAAATTGGCCTTTTACTGTATATTTTCGTATATTTTGTCATTTTACTAGATTTGTTTAAATTTAAAGTTAAAGATTTAAAAATTTAGATTCAAAGATTTAAGTTTAAAATTAGAGTTTTCAGCGAACTTGCCAATGGTTTGATGACAACGAAATTGTATTTTTCATAGACTTTTACACTAGGAGTTAAAAAAAAAGGGAAACTGTTAAATTAAAACTAAATAAAACTATATTAAATTTGATGTCGTTGATTTGTCGTTAAATTTGACGTCGATTGTGATTTAAATTTTTAGTCTGTTAGACTCGTTAGAGTATCTATGGCTAACTTTTTTAATTATTCTTTTTTAAGATAACGTGTGAGAGGAAGTCCCAAATAGAACAACATGTAATAACTGCAAAACATATACAAATATGTGATAGAAATAGATTGATAACAACTATAACAAAGGCATATTTTTGCATATTTTTTGCATATTTCGAATAAATAGGTTGCATATTTCCTATAATTTGACTGCATAAAAATCCGAGCTCTAGTAATCATTCAAATACTCCTGATTTATTAAGAACTGAATTGTTCTATTTCAACACTCTCTATCTCTGAATTAATTTTAAATCAGTATTTCATTAGAGGTTTGTAAATCCAACAACAGAGTTTTACCTTTATCTAGAATAACAAAATTTGCAATATCTACTTTGTTTTTGCTTTAGATTTTAAGTTTATGTTACCTATCAGATCTATTTTAATATTTCATTAATGACTATCATTTTCATTTTAAAATGTTTAGGTTCTATCTTAACTAACATAAATAGTTTTAAAGCAAAAACACTAATCTGTACAGGGTGTCCCAATTTCGATGTCCGCATAGGCTATCTCTGAAACTAAAAGAGATAGAAAAAAAGTAGCTTACATGTCATGATCTCGTTTTTCGAGAAAATGCTAATGCCGAAAACTCCGAACAGCTATCGTCTTTTGTTTTCGCCCTATCGGCAAAAACTGAAAATTTTGCGAAAACGACAATCGCGAATATCTCACTTATTATCAAAGATGGAGTATTATAAATAAAACATTATATGGGCAACTTTTTACGAAGAATTCAGTGGCGTAGGTAGAATTTTTTTCCCATCTTTTATTTTCGAGATTTTAGACGTAACTTTATTTTTTTAAATGGAAACCATAGTTGGCTATGACCTAAAATAATTTGTTATTTTCTTCTGATAACAAATATATATAGTTTGTGGGGTATATTTCTTATAGTTATTGAATAATTAACAAAAATTCATTTTGTTCTATCTAAAACTAATGTATGTATTTAAAAGTTAATGTTGCTATGGTGATAACCATACATACTATGATGGAACATAATGTATCAAATAATTGCCAAAGTTTGTATTTAAAAATTCGATAACAACTCTGGCATTATGTGCTGGTACGATGCACCAGCATGTTAAGTGTCAAAGTATAACAAAACTGAATAAAACTTTACAATGAATTTCGAAAATTATGAAAAATGTAACATGATGGAATGCTATATGTTATCAGATAAGAATGCGACGTTAGCCGCGGAATTTTATTTCACAAGATATCCAGAAAGAAGACAACCGCACGTAAGAACCTTCAGCCGGTTAGCAGAAAATTTAATAGATATTTGGTCCTTCCCCAAACCACATACAAAAACATACCAAAATGACCTGCAAGAGAAATTGCAACAAGACGTCTGACCCAAAAGCCGCTGCTCCCGAATATGAAAGAAAAATAAGTATAAACCATACAAAGCGGGGCTAACTCATTATTTACGTGCCGGAGATGTCAATCGAAGATTAGAATTTTGTAGATGATATTTAAAAAAATTAAATAATCTGCTGTTTGTTCAAAATGTTATCTGGACCGATGAAGTCTCTGAGTGTTCAAAGAAGATTGGGGTTCAATGTATGGTGTGCCCTTTTAGATAATAGAATTTTGGCATATAGTATCTACCATAAAAACTTAAACTCAGGGAAATACCTCAATATATTAAGGCAGCACATTGAGCCTTTGGTCGACAATTTGCCACTAAATATGTCTCAAATGATATATTTTCAATATGACGGAGCACCAGCACATAATGCCAGAGTTGTTAGTGAATTTTTAAATACTACTACAAACTCAAGGACAGTAGAATCTAACAGGACTGCTACATCCATTGTTGTGACAGCCTACCCGCAAACTACGTCACACCATTTTCCACGCCCAGCTGTTGTTATGGTCTATGCGTTTGCTGTGTGTTTTTAGAGGTTATATCCTAGACGTATTCATATTAGTTTTGAAGTTTTATGTTTTTAGACGTATTAATGTCTATCATATAACCTCTAAAAACATAGACAGTTATCAGGCGTGGCAAATAGTGTGACGTAGAGTGCGGGCAACCAACCCGTAGTCGACTACAAAAATACAATGGATGTAGCAGTCCTGTTAGATTCTACTGTCCTTGCTACAAACTTTGGCAATAATTGGAAACAATGCTTTCCCTCATGGTATGGTTATCACCATAACAACATTAAGTTTTAAATACATACAATAGTTTTAGAAAGAACAAAAAAAATTGATACATTATATTCCATCATAGTATGTATGGTTATCACCATAGCAACATTAACTTTTAAATACATACATTAGATTTAGATGGAACAAAATGAATTTTTGTTAATTATTCAATAACTATAAGAAATATACCCCACAAACTATATATATTTGTTATCAGAAGAAAATAACAAATTATTTTAAGTCATAGCCAACTATGGTTTCCATTTAAAAAAATAAAGTTACGTCTAAAATCTCGAAAATAAAAGATGGGAAAAAAATTCTACCTACGCCACTGAATTCTTCGTAAAAAGTTGCCCATATAATGTTTTATTTATAATACTCCATCTTTGATAATAAGTGAGATATTCGCGATTGTCGTTTTTGCAAAATTTTCAGTTTTTGCCGATAGGGCGAAAACAAAAGACGATAGCTGTTCGGAGTTTTCGGCATTAGCATTTTCTCGAAAAACGAGATCATGACATGTAAGCTCTTTTTTTCTATCTCTTTTAGTTTCGGAGATAGCCTATGCGGACATCGAAATTGGGACACCCTGTACTATACATATAAGTTAAAATCTATTAATTGACTTTGTACATCTACAGACTGAAACCATTGAAAGGAATTACTCAACTTCATACTTTCTTTTAATATTACTGAATCAACATAAACCAACTAAAAATTCATATTAATATTCTTTGGATTAAACTTTGATATCTTTTTGGCATTTTGCAATCTTGTATTCTGATTGTACAGCTTTTCTGAACTTAGTCATAAAGGAAACAATTGTTTTTGAACTATTTTAATGCAAAGGAACTCCCAAATTTTGCTGTTTATCATCTAATCTTTTTATTTTCTTCCCCAATACATATAAAATTATTGTATAGTTCCCATCCATCGTCACCTATTACATTAAGAGACCCCAATTTTCGTTACTTCTGATTTATCTTGTAAAGTAGCAGTCGTAATATATAAATCAAAGTTTTGTTTGAACCTTTTCCATTTTTCGGCTATATTATAATCATTTTAAGTATTTCTCCAACCATAACTCAATTATTATCATTACTAATCACAACCTAATACCATGTATAATCTCAAAGACTTAATTAAATAAGATTTAAGGATTTTAATCGCTTTATTTACTCCTTATATTCCTACTACATAATCTTTCTGGCTGGTTTCTCTATTAACTTGTCGGTAGGCAACCCAACCTACACTTAACTTGTTGAAACATGGTTGAAACCTATTCAAGTTTAAAAAACACGGTTTCAGCAATATTTACGATATATTTATTTAAATATATCACATCCTTGCAAAGTTTTTTTTTAAATATTTCTTTCCTATTTATTTTCCTTTAAAGTAAACAAAAGAACTTTTAGAAAAAAAATTGTTGTAATAAATACAACACTTTACAAACAATAAATTAATGAGTAATGTTAAAAATATAATACATCAAAATTGTTAATAATGAACGAAACAACATAATTTATAGAAAATTGTAAATTTTTTTTGTAAATTTTGAAATTTTGGCTCATAAAGCGATTACATCACAAAATTTGATATCATTTTAATTAATATCCGTTTAATAGCAATTTATAAAAAATTATTACACACGATAACTTCCTTATCTTTCTTATCAGCTCGTTAAAAATGTTGTATGACCTACAATTGAACACGGAATTTCAGATAACTTTCCATTATGGGCATTATAAGTATCCGCATTTATCGCTAACGAACAACGTGTTTTTTTCCTCTAATTATAACAACCATTAAAAAATTCAACATAAATTCAAGTACAACTACACCTTTCTTTATTCACCTTCAACAAAATATGTAAACCGCTCATTTCTTGTATCCATAAATTCCATATGATCACTGACAGTAGTTTGACAGATAAATTTATTTTTTGACATCTCACTCGTGTTGAAATCGTATTTGATGCCAATCACGGTCGATTACGTTTTTCAGTGTTTGTTTGTTCAAATCTCGATTTCAATGCCGTTACCCGCATGAATCATGCGTCGTCGAATTGTTTCAAAACGATTAGAATCTTAACAACGCTTCAATAAGCGGTAAGATAGTGTTTATTAAAACGAAATAACGAATCGAAAAGATGTTACGAAGACGCCGAAAAGTGAAATTGCTACTGTGAAGACGGAGAGATGGCCCCTGTTTTTGCTCTATATATTATATTAACGGTGCTTTTCCCGCTGTTTCGTTGCGAGGATTTTTACACAACTTCCGAAAATCATGTGGAATCTCCGCTGTGCTGTAACCTGACCGTTACTGAACGAATTGATGTGGATTATTCTTCGAAAGTGATTGAAAATGAGTATATCGTTACTTTTGATGGATATTATAAAAGTAATGCGAGAGCATCATATATAACTGCAGCTTTAAATAATTCCGGGATAAAAAGTTGGAAGATTTTATCGAGAGAAAATCCGGCTAGTGATTATCCAAGTGATTTTGATGTAGTATTAATTGAAGAAACTGATAAATCACTTGGTTTAGATGCTTTAACTGACCATCCGTCAATTAAAAGAGTTACATCGCAACGAATGGTGCTTAGAACCTTAAAATTTATAAACACACACGAATATGTAAGAAGAGGTAGAAATAGTTTATCACAAAATGGTCAATTTTGGCAAGCAACAGGTCGGCACACAAGTCGAAGATTACTTAGAGCAATTCCTAGACAAATAACTTCCGTTTTACAAGCAGATGCATTATGGAACATGGGAATTACCGGAAAAGGTATTAAAGTAGCCGTTTTTGATACAGGCCTCTCAAAAACGCACCCACATTTTCGAAAAATTAAAGAACGTACGAATTGGACTAACGAAAAAACTTTAGATGATGGTTTAGGACACGGTACATTTGTCGCAGGGCTTATAGCATCCAGTAAAGAATGTTTAGGTTTCGCCCCCGACTCAGAACTCCATATTTTCCGCGTTTTCACAAATAATCAAGTATCATATACTTCGTGGTTCTTAGACGCGTTTAATTACGCCATTTTAAAGAAGATCAATGTACTTAATTTAAGCATAGGAGGGCCGGATTTTAAAGATCATCCTTTTGTTGATAAAGTTTGGGAATTAACGGCTAATCGGGTTATTATGGTCTCTGCAATTGGAAATGATGGGCCACTTTATGGAACTTTGAATAATCCAGCTGATCAAATGGATGTTATTGGAGTTGGTGGAATTGATTTTGAGGATCATATCGCTAAGTTTTCTTCTAGGGGGATGACTACATGGGAATTACCACAAGGTTATTAAAAAAAAATTATTTATTTGTTATAAATATTATTATGATAAATATTTTTTAGGTTATGGACGTGTTAAACCTGATATAGTAACATATGGAGCTGGTGTACGTGGTCCAAACATAAAAGGAGGTTGTCGCTCACTTTCTGGTACGAGTGTGGCTTCTCCAGTTGTAGCAGGAGCGGTTACTTTATTAGCCAGTGGAGTTTTGCATCGTGGAGATGATATTAACCCCGCAAGCGTAAAGCAGGCGCTAATTGCTTCTGCTAGGCGAATTCCGGGGGTGAATATGTTTGAGCAGGGTCATGGAAAATTAAATTTAGTGAAAGCTTATCAAATTTTAAACAGTTATAAACCACAGGTATTAACACTTTAGTTATACAACGGGGTGTTTCAATAAGAATGACACATATTTTATATTTGATCAAAATTTTTTAAATGTATTTCTGCTGTGAACTAAAATTATTGCAGAAAAAGTATATTCCTCAAAATGTGTTTACTTACAAATCGTTGCAACCTGGATAAAGAACTTAACAGTAGAATAGAGGTAGCAAGTAAATCCTGTAGAGAGGCAGCTAACTGACAGAAGTGTATTATCTGACAATCTTGTGATCATATCAAATCCATTCCTGTATTTCTTCTTCCCTATGTCTTCTAAAACATTGATGTGAAGATGTTTTCATTTTTTTTTTTTATATTATGCATAGCACAATTGACAAATTAAACAAGATAATATTTTGCAGCTTCTCCCAGTGGTCCAGTCTGGTTTACATGTAAAATAGATAAATATTATCATATTTTTAGAGTTTTAAGACTATAGAATCACTATATCGAACGGCTTCATCATCTGGAGGCGACGCAGGACATCCTCATTGTCGAGAAATAATCTCTTCTCATGTTTTATAGGCGAATGATTCCATGTCACAATGGAGGTCGGTGTTTTTTATATACCAAGGTGCATTCACCATGCACCTTAGTACTTTGTTTTCTAATCTTTGAATCAGACTTGCATTTGACTTGCAAGTACAATCCCACAGCCAAGGTTTATACAGGTATATCAGGTATGAGTAGAAAAAATTTGAGGGGTTATAGGTCTCCTCTTTTTGAATAAAAAAAGCTTATAACACAATGTCCCATTCTTTGCCATTCTTAAGATATGATACGATAAAGTTAAGGGTTTGAAAGTTTAAGTACTGCTGTATAAAGAATTATATTAACCAGGCTTTGTTTATGTAATATAGCTTTAATTTGACACATAAAAGTCATTTTTGAGATATTTTTTTAGAGGTTGTTTACTTTATACGAATAAATTTATCACTTCTGTTTGAATTTAGGTTTTAATAAATAAACTTGCTTATTGTATCAAAAACAACAAAATTACAAAATTAGAAACAAATTGCAAAGTAAAGCCTGGTTAGTATAATTCATTAACCAGTAGTACTCAAACTTATGAACCCTTAACTTTATCGTATCATATATTATTAAGAATGGCAAAGAATGGGACATTGTGTTATAAGCATTTTTTATTCAGAAAGAGGAGACCTATAACCCCTCAATTTTTTTCTATTCTTACCAGATACACCTGTATATAAGAGGTTGTCTAGGTTCCTATACTGCAATACTTCGATTTTAGTTTGTGGGCGAGGGGTAAGAGCGGGAGTGTCTCGTCACGTAAGTGGCGACGAATTGCGCGCGCAACCTCAAAGTCATGTTTAGTCAAAGTTTATATATAAAAGGTTGTCTAGGTTCGTACGCAACCATACTGCGCATTACGTCACACGTGGAAAATAATACCGCCAAGCAATTCAAATTAAACAAATGCATGGAGCACCATATGGCCATGAGGTTGCGTGCGCAATCCGTGATCGCTTACGTCACGAAACACTCCTGCTCTTGCCCCTCGTCCACAAACTAAAATCAAAGTATTGCAGCATAGGAACTTAGATAACCTGTAATATATAAACCTTGATGTTTAGTGAGAGTTGAAGTGTCTTCTCTAGTATAACATAAATCAATTACTACTTCAATTTGCATCAATTATTTTATGATAAGTGAATTAAGAATTAAATTAAATTATTTTTCGTTTTACTACCGCAATTAATTATACAGTCTGTCCGTAAAGTAACGGATATAGGCGATAAAATCATAATAAACGGTTTATGGAAAAATCCCTGAAACGGGTCTAAAGATTTAAATTTTTTGCAATTTTTTACACGAGTTATGGCGTCATCGATATTTTTTTAAATGGCAATCCCCCATTTTTATTGCGGAATATGAAAGAGGATTTTTTTCTGAATCTAGTAAAGTATTACTTTAAAGTTTAACTACTTCAGATTGGTTGACATGATGAAAATAGCAGTAGCCATGAGTAACTATGGTAACCAATTATTTTAAACAATTTCCTAAGTGTCGAAAACTGATTTAGTAAGTAGTTGACCTATTTAATACAACATATCCTGATCGCCAACTCATTAGCTAAACTATGGTGAGCCTAGCTGTGACTAAATTTAAACAGCATTGCCATCTCTCGAAGCATTTCTCGAAGTCTGGCTTACTAAATGTTGTAAGGGAAGTTAATAAATCGTGGTTTTAGCTGGGCAAGAAAACCCTCATGTTACTGTAAAGAGTATTGGGTCTAATTTGGACATTAGTAAATCAACGGTTCATAAAATTTTAAAACCTGCAAAATATCATTCCCATAAAGTAAACCTGATTCACGAGTAATGAATCGTAGACTTTGTCAAAAACATAATTTTTTCCAAAATCCAAATTAGCCAAGAAAGTCCCACACCCAATATCAGCAAAAGATTTGAGGAAATCTTAACTGGAAAGAGATGTTTAAATTTTTTCAAAGCGATGACATTGCTTCCATCCCGATAATGTTGACACAACTCAATTCCCACGGCAGTTATTCCAACAAGATGGCGCGCCACCACACTTCAAGAAGCTTTACTAAATCAGTTTTTGACACTCAGGGAATTGTTTAGAATAATTGGTTACTATAGTTACTCATGGCTACTACTATTTTTATCATTATACAAATTTGAAGTAATTAAACTTTAAAGTAATTTTTCTCGAGAATTTTCTTATGTAACCAATATTAATATTGACTGTACTAGATTCAGAAAAAAATCCTCTTTTATATTCCGCAATAAAAATGGGGGATTGCCATTTGAAAAAAATACCGATGACGTCATAACTCGCTTAAAAATGGCGGAAGAAATTTAAATCTTTAGACCCGTTTCAGGGATTTTTCCATAAACCGTTTATTATGATTTTATCGCCTATATCCGTTACTTTACGGACACACTGTATACCACACTAAATAAATATATAAAAGTAATTCAATTACATTATTTTAAAAATTTTAATTATTTCCCTAATTATTTGTCGCCAATCACGTATGGTAGTATGACAGTATGATTGCGTATAAACTTACACAACCTGTTATATACAAACCTTGCCCCACACCTGGATTCCGTATGTCCATTTTAGTTTTAATACTAGCTTGTATATTAGCAACTTGTTACTTAGTAATAACGTAGATTTTCGGCCAATAAGCCAATATAGGTGTTTAATTTTGATATCAAATGTCTCACGTTATTTTTTGACGTGAGCTTTCCATTTGACTTTGGCATCCAGCTTCATACCAAGATATTTTGCGGTGTCGGCGTAAGGGATTGCATTGCTATTTATGTATGCTGGGACATAGTTTACTTTCTTATAAGTAAAGTTTGGTCCAGTTTTTCTATTGAATTTAAGGCCAATTGTAACTTATTTGCTGCGACTACTTCATTTTCTGCAATAACCAAGGCATTAATTAATAATTTTCGCTGTGTCATCTGCGAATGTAGCTGTTAAAGTTTCTGGTATTTGAGGAAGGTCGAATGTGTACAATGTTGGGCTAAGCACACTTCCTTGAGGAGCGCCTGCTTGTATTTCATGTAGTGGTGAATAAGCGTTTTCGTATTTTACCCTATAATATCGATCAGAACGATACGATTTGAATAGTTGATTATACGTTGATGGTAGTATTTGGTCTAGTTTGTTAATTTAAACCATCTAACCAGACTTTGTCGAAAGCTTGTGCAACATCCAAAAATACGGCGGAGCAGACTTTATTTTCTTCCATTGCTATTTCGATAGTATTCGTTATTCTATGCACTTGGTCTATTGTTGCATATTTATTCCGAACCCCAAATTGATGTGGTCGTTTTAGGTCTTTTTCTTCTATGACAGGTTTTAGTTTTTTTAATAGTAATTTTTTAAGTAGTTTTGATAGTAAGGGTAATAATGAGATTGGCCTATATGTTTGGTATCATTATTTTTTCAGCAACTTTCCATATACTTGGGAGGTATATCTGTTTAAAAGCAGCATTAATTATATGTTATAGTTTTGTAATCGCCCGTTTTGGTAGATGTTTCAATTTTTCTCCATTAATTAGGTCATAGCCTTGCTGATTTCTTTATATTTAGTTTTTGTATTTCATAACACAGTTATTTCATTCTTACACATGGTATATTACTTTGCTGATCACTTTGAATTATGCTAGGAACACTATTTAACATAATTTCTGGACTGTCTGCTGTAAAAGTTTCTTTCAGACGTTTAGTAAACAAATTAACTTTTTCTTGATTGCTCCTAGCCCAATTTCCAAATTATATTATTTTATTTCGAATTAGAGGTGTATGTGTTTTTGGAACTTTAAGCTTTCTTGTTATCTTCCACAGAGAATAATCAGTAGTAGCATCTTTTAAGTAATTTTGAATATTAGTTTGTTTGTGGCTCTCTGTTAACTGTTAATGCTCTTAATTCAGCTGTTATTTTATTTAATTTAGTTTTATCACTAGGAATGCTATTGGTTTGCTATTTCTTTCTCGCTTTCCGTTTTTCTGGAATTTTGTCTCTAACCAATTTAGGATATATGTTAGATTTAGGTTTTGGTGTTAAAATAGGTATTGAGGCCCAAGCTGAGTTTTGTATGACTTTTAAGAACTTTTCTACTTCCTTGTCAATGTCTTCGTTTGTTTTCATAAGAGCATTAAGATGAATTTTATTATCTAATGTTTGTTGAAATAGATTCCAGTTAGTGATAAAAAGGGTTCTTTGTTACATACCTTGTTATTTAGAGTAATAATTACTGGTGAGTAATCTGAGTCTAGCCCTAACTCTTCTCCTACGTTTACGAAGTTAAGCAATATATTTTTCGTAATAAAAAAATCAAGCAGGTCCGGAATTTTACTTCTATCTGTGGAAGAGTGGAGAGCATCTCACAATTTAGGGCCTCTATTGCATGTTTCAATTCTCTTTCTTTTGTACTTGTCAAGCAAGAACCCCAAGACATATGTTTTGCATTAAAGTCTCCTCCAAGTATAAGTTTGTTTTCAAGATGCAGTAGAATTTTCTGATAATCTTTATTATTATCTTTATTACTAAAAGTAATCTTTTCCATTTATAATTAAATTATACACATATACATTTTTTATAAAATATGTGTCTATCTTCTTGAAATAACCTATACTAATTAAAATATACTAAACAAATACTTTTTTTAGGCTAGTTTAATTCCAAGTTATATAGATCTTAGTGAATGTCCATACATGTGGCCGTATTGTACTCAACCTATGTACGCAGGAGCAATGCCCGTGGTTGTAAATGTAACCATTTTAAATGGTTTAGGTGTTTCTGGGCATATAATCGGCAAACCACAATGGTTTCCGTATACCCCACAAAACGGTCAGTATTTGGATGTGGCCTTTTCATATTCAGAGCTTTTATGGCCCTGGTCAGGTTGGCTTGCGGTAAGCTTATCAGTAAATCCTAAAGGGATTGGGTATGAAGGGGTTGCTCAAGGGCATATTAGCTTAACTGTGCAATCGCCTCCCGCTCAAGGGGAATCAGAACCTAGACAAAGTACTGTTATTTTACCAATTAGGTAAAAATTAAATAAAATCAAAAAATTTATCATTTAATAAATAATTGGTTTTAGAGCAAAAATTATTCCTACACCCCCACGTCATAAAAGATTATTATGGGATCAATATCATAATCTTAGATACCCCCCCGGTTATTTTCCAAGAGATAATTTAAAGATTAAAAACGATCCTTTAGATTGGAATGGTGATCACATTCACACTAATTTTAAAGATATGTATCAACACCTTAGAAATTCCGGTTATTACATAGAAGTTCTTGGTTCTCCTTTTAATTGTTTTGATGCTTCCCAATACGGAACTTTATTAATAGTAGATCCAGAAGAAGAATATTTCCCGGAAGAAATCTCAAAAATAAAACGAGACGTCGATGCGGGTTTATCAATAATAATTTTTGCCGATTGGTACAACGTAACGGTGATGAAACGGGTTAAGTTTTACGATGAAAACACGAGACAATGGTGGATGCCGGATACCGGAGGAGCCAATGTTCCAGCTTTAAACGATTTATTGGCACTTTGGGGTGTCGAATTGGGAAATAAAGTGTTTGATGGTCCGTTTAAATTCGGCGATCACGAAATGTATTACGCCTCAGGAACAAGTATTGCTAAATTTCCCGATGACGGTGTATTAATCTCCCAAAAATTAAAAGATCAGGGACAACAAATTTTAGATCCAGATGGTGATCACGAAGAAACTTACAACGCCCCAATTTTGGGTTTAATGCAAAGTAAAGCGTCCGATAAAAGTGGGCGTTTGGTCGTGTATGGTGATTCAAATTGTATCGACGCGAGTCACATGGATAAAGCGTGTTATTGGATGTTGGACGCGATTTTAGAATATACTTCATCGGCTCATATGCCACTTATATTTAAGAATAATCGGATGATCGATACGGCCGCTAAAGTTGAGACGGATGTACCGGAACGGATGGAAGGAAATAAGTTGTATAGATACTCTAAAGTTCTTGATAATCACTTGGGCGATTCCCAAGCGAAAGCTTTACCACAATGTCCTCAATTGGTTTGGGCACAACCTGTTCCGCTTAATATTTCAGCACCGACAAATTTTTATCAATCGCAACGATTGCTTTCATTAACTGAAGAAACACCAATTCCTATTGCACCTGTTAGTCATCAATTTAGAGGTAAGTTTTGGTTATTAACAGTTATTTGTGTGCCAAGGCCGCAAAGCCAACGATAATGCTACGTGGTCGAGGTACACACAATATTTTTTTGTGCAACCGGATCTAAAATTGATTAAATAATGAGTGGATTTTATTATACAATGTTTGCTTAATACGATGTCACTGTATTAAGCCAAGGTCGCTTGCGGCTGAGGTGCTATAGTTAATACATACCATATCAACATAAGACATGTCATACAAGTATTAATAAAACTCTGGGTTAACGATGAAAATGGTTTATTTTATTTTACATTCGGTGCGACATGTTTCGGAATTATCTTATTCCTTCATCGGGCACAACGTCAATGTTGAGGAGTTAAAATTATAAGTTGCTTCGTTAAATGAATCAAGGACATATCAACAGAATAGGTTGTATGAAGTTTCAAGAAAACTCTTCTTCAAAGAATATCTCTTTCTAAAAAAGTACCGATCTACAAGTTTATGAAATTTTACACACGTGTTTTGTCGTTAAGAAATCACTTTTCTATCAAAAATTAACATAACATTATTCCATTAAAAAAAAAATTATTAAAATTAAACTCAGTCAGAGTCCATGTGTTGAGCACAAGTGGAAAAATTGAACAGCTCAATTTTTCCACTTGTGCTTTTTCCACTAAGCAACTTATAATTTTAACTCCTCAACATTGACGTCGTGCCCGATGAAGGAATAAGATAATTCCGAAACATGTCGCACCGAATTGAAAATAAAATAAACCATTTTCATCGTTAACCCAGAGTTTTATTAATATTCATATTGAACGATGAACATAGAATCCACCATCGCCAAATGTCATACAAGGTACCGCCTTGGCCGCAAGCAACCTCGGCTTGATACATTGAAATACACGATGTAACTGTATTAAGCCGAGGTTGCTTATGGTCGAGGCGCTACAGCTAATGCCATATTAACATAAGGCTGGTATTAAACAAGGTACAGCCTCGGCCTAATACACTCAAATAGACGTTGTCACTGTATTAAGAAGAGGTCGCTTGCGGCCAAGGCGCTGCAATTAATCAGTGATGGGCGCTGAGTAAATACCCGGTGGGTAGGTATTTATAAAATGGGTATTTATCTGGGAGTATGAAAATGGGTATTTAGCTAGAAAGAGATCCCGAGAGACAAGGAAGTTGGATTTCCAGCTCTAATGAAACACCATGAATGATGCGTAAAAAACAAGTTACAACCTGAATAAAAGAAGAAAAATAATAAGATCTTAAAAGAACTACTTAATTTTCAATTGGAAATTAACAATCTCATGGATCTTGGAATCTTGGATTTGATGGAAGTGCAGTATGACTAGAAAAGAATCAAACAACAAGAATTACTGAAGCACAAAAACTGAATTTAGTCTTTAATATTAGACTTATACTCAATTCAAAGTTGGTTTTCAAGCATTAAAGAAATCGTTAAACATTTTCGAAGAGTGTTACGTAAAGGAGAAGCTTTCCCGAAATATGTGTACACATTAAAGCTAATACACAAGGAATGTGTATAAATTTGTTAGACAGTTAAGACAAAGGCACAAATCGCACACAGCTCTATGCTGAGATGGAACAGGAAAAATAATATGTGATAGTGAAATGAATGACATTTGGAAAAATTATATCTAAAACCTATTAAGTATAGAAACTGATTTGGAAATAGACAGCAGTCACACCAAAGAAAGGATAGTGTCATGGAACCTATATCAATCAGTGAGGTTCAAAACGTAATCATTGCGTCAAAACATGGAAAGGCATCAGGGATTAATGACATACCATCGAAAGTATTCGTTATCACCAATATTGATGTTAGAGCTTATAACAAGATTTGTCCTAAATTTTGTTGTTATTTAGCACGCCTCCTATACGTTCAGCATCAGTTTTATNCCGTATTCACGATAGAAGTATTCATTATCACCAATATTGATGTTAGAGCTTATAACAAGATTTGTCCTAAATTTTGTTGTTATTTAGCACGCCTCCTATACGTTCAGCATCAGTTTTATTTCTCCAAGGCTATCCGAAATAAGGACTATATCGTCCGCTTAGTGCAAATTACTTAGGTATTGCAATTAATGTTTATACCTTTTTGGGTCCAATCCAGTTGTTTAAATGCACTCTCCAGGACTGTGATGAACAATTTGGGTTCAACATTATATCGCCTTGTCTTACCCCACGCCCATTTGATATTCGGTCAGTACTTTCATGCAATTTTACCGTCATAGCATTCTTGTAAATGTAATAAATAAGTTTGTAATACCAGAGTGGTGTTAGATAAGGTACAGCCTCGGCCGCAAGCGACCTCGGTTTGATACACTGAAATACAATAATAAGTTTATTGCCACCAAGATTTACAATAATATAAGAAAAATATCATTATCCTATGACATTAACACAAGGTTGATAAAAGGTCAATATGTCACTGTATTAAGCCGAGGTCATTTGCGGCCAAGGCGGTACAGTTAATACTACACTGTGTTAATTAATTATCGTACCCGACGTCATCATTACAAGTATGCAACCAATATCACAGTATGGGTATTGCAAATCGAGATTTGCGTATGATACGTATTGCACTGTGATATTGGTTGTATACTTGCAATGATGACGTCGGGTACGATAATTAATTAACACACTGTATATCAAAACAAGGCTGGTGCCAAATAAGACTGGCCTCGGCATAATGAACTGAAAAACACGATGTCACTGTATTAAGCCATACTACAATTAATACCATACCAATACCAGATTGGTGTTAGATACAGTACATTCTCGACCGCAAGCGACCTCGGCTTAACGAGCTGAAATAGACGATGTCACTGTATTAAGCCGAGGTCATTTGCGGCCAAGGCGGTCCAGTTAATACTATATCAAAACAAGACTGGTGCCAAAAAACATACTGCCTCGGCTTAATGAATTCAAAAACACTATGTCACAGTATTAAGCCGAGGCACTACAATTAATACGATATCAATACCAAACTGGTGTTAGATACGGTACAGCCTCGACCGCAAGCGACCTCGGCTTAATGAGCTGAAATAAACGATGTCACTGTATTAAGCCAAGGTCGTTTGCGGCCAAGGCGGTACAGTTAATACTATATCAAAACAAGACTGGTGCCAAAAAACGTACTGCCTCGGCCGCAAGCGACCTCGGCTTATNGACATACCATCGAAAGTATTCGTTATCACCAATATTGATGTTAGAGCTTATAACAAGATTTGTCCTAAATTTTGTTGTTATTTAGCACGCCTCCTATACGTTCAGCATCAGTTTTATTTCTCCAAGGCTATCCGAAATAAGGACTATATCGTCCGCGTAGTGCAAATTACTTAATTATTGCCATTAATATTTATACCTTTTTGGGTCAAATCCAGTTGTTTAAATGCACTCTCCAGTACTGTGATGAACAATTTGGGTTCAACATTATATCGCCTTGTCTTACCCCACGCCCAATTGGTATTCGGTCGGTACTTTCATGCAATTTTACCGTCATTGTAGCATTCTTGTAAATGAAATAAATAAGTTTGTAATACCAGAGTGGTGTTAGATAAGGTACAGCCTCGGCCGCAAGCGACCTCGGCTTGATACACTGAAATACAATAATAATAAGTTTATTGCCACCAAGATTTACAATAATAACAGAAAAATATCATTATCCTATAACATTAACACAAGATTGATTAAAGGTCATCGAGGTCATTTGCGGCCAAGGCGGTACAGTTAATACTACACTGTGTTAATTAATTATATTATCGTACCCAACGTCATCATTACAAGTATGCAACCAATATCACAGTATGGGTATTGCAAATCGAGATTTGCGTATGATACGTATTGCGCTGTGATATTGGTTGCATACTTGCAATGATGACGTTGAGTACGATAATTAATTAACACACTGTATATCAAAACAAGGCTGGTGCCAAATAAGACTGGCCTCGGCTTAATGAACTGAAAAACACGATGTCACTGTATTAAGCCGAGGCACTACAATTAATACCATATCAATACTAGATTGGTGTTAGATACGGTACAGCCTCAACCGCAAGCGACCTCGGCTTAACGAGCTGAAATAGACGATGTCACTGTATTAAGCCGAGGTCGTTTACGGCCAAGGCGGTACAGTTAATACTATATCAAAACAAGACTGGTGCCAAAAAACGTACTGCCTCGGCCGCAAGCGACCTCGGCTTAATGAACTGAAAAGCAGGATGTCACTGTATTAAGCCGAGGCACTACAATTAATACCATATCAATACCAGATTGGTGTTAGATACGGTACAGCCTCGACCGCAAGCGACCTCGGCTTAATGAGCTGAAATAGACGATGTCACTGTATTAAGCCACGGTCGTTTGCGGCCAAGGCGGTACAGTTAATACTATATCAAAACAAGACTGGTGCCAAAAAACGTACTGCCTCGGCCGCAAGCGGCCTCGGCTTAATGAACTGAAAAGCAGGATGTCATTGTATTAAGCCGAGGCACTACAATTAATACCATATCAATACCAGATTGGTGTTAGATACGGTACAGCCTCGACCGCAAGCGACCTCGGCTTAATGAGCTGAAATAGACGATATCATCGTATTAAAAAGAGGTTGCATGAGGTCGAGACGCTACAGTTAATATCACATCAATATAATGCTGGTGTCAAACAAGATATTGCCTCGGCCTCGGCGACCTCAGTTTAAAACGCTAAAATACACCATGAATATACCATACCCATCACCAGCTACATACATTTAATACGAACTCATTTTTCGTCCGGTTGCACAAAAAGTTTATTTAATAAAATGAAAAAATAATTAAATCATTAATAGGACAGCTCTATAAAGTAATCTAGTCTAACTGAACGTTTCAGATGCATCGGGTCAAGATGAATCCGTTGAAGTGTTCAAATGGCGTAGAAAACAACCGGAAATTCTTTTAGAGAAGACTATTGTTAAACAATACAACCTCACGCCAATTATTTTAATAAGCATAACTGGAGTGTTATTTTTGCTGCTAGTGCGGATGTGTTATAAACGTCCAAAAAATAAGAAGCGAAAATCGCGAATTAGGGCAATTTGTGGAAGTTTAATTCCGTGGTAAAACTGTATTGACATTTTTTTATGTTATTATCTTCTCTCACGGACGATGTAAATATAGAACGTAGAAATTGTTATTTAAGGTCAAAATAGTTTTATATATTTATTTTAATACATAATGTGCAATTAAAAAGAATGGTCATTTTACGTGAAAGGGAATGTCGAATTGTTGTGTTGGGCAACGATATCCTATTTGTACCTGTCGATATACATATTATATAGAACTTTTTGAATTAAACGAGTATTAAATTAATCTCTCTTTTAATAAGAATTAATTTTATTTACTTACCGCAGGTATTCGTTGTCGATTAATATTAAAAAATCCTCCCGCGGAAACTTGAACCGAAGATGAAAGTATTTGAGAAAGAATAAGTTGTATCTGCAATCAAAATGAATATTAACCCCCATTTAATTTTTATTCCGCTAAATCTTACTTCCGATTTATCTTCGCCATCTAAAATCAACGGTGGAAGTTTTTGCATGAACTCAACGATGTTATTGGCTTCCTCGCTAATTTTATGCGACACATTTATAACAATAAAGTTCAAGAACGCGTTTATAATGATGCAAAACAATAAATTTTGGTCCTTTATATTCTCAGTAAAAAAATAAATGTACAAATTCAAAACAAACATCACGATAATATAGAATTGATCCACCGCGAGATACCACCCAAACATTTTCCCAAGATATTTTACAGCGTCCCCCATTAAAAAGTACATTTGATTTAAGTTCAACAATATCATTTTAAAATCCGGAGGTATACAAATATTCTTATCTTTGTGTAAAGCTTTAATAGGGATGTGATTAAGCGCAGTTTTTTTGATATCGTGAAAATTATAGAATATCACAAAAGCGAAATAGTTATAAAGTAAAATAGGGGTCATCTGCCAAGCTCCGATCATCCCAACAAAAATATGTTGTTGATTAAATGTTTGTTTTCCATTATAAAACGTGATTTTAGTGAATTGCATAAATAATACAGCTAGAGAACTCGCTAAAGTAATCCCAGAAAGAATTGGCAATATAGTCCACACCAACAATCTTCTCGATGCTTCCCAAGCAGTTCCTTTAAACGCTTTACTTTTCTTGTAATCAAACAATTCGAGGATTTGAATTAACTTCACCAATTTTCTTGATTTCGTCGTACAAAAATAATAAGACAATATTGATCGTATGACCACTAATAAAATAACCATATATCTCCAAACGTAATTATTCCTAAAGTTAATAGCTTCTTGAATCAAATAAAGCGGATCTCTAAAATTTACCATCCCAATAATAGTAACGATAAATATAATAAGGCTGTATATAAACTGGTAACTAAACACCGAAAATCTCAGCAGTGTACTATCACAATGAAGAATGTTTTTTAATGGCATAATTCCTATTAACATATACATCACAGCAACCGGTCTAAAATGCCAAAAAAACGTTTTTGGTTTGGCAAAAGCTCGATTTGAGTGTGTGTTTTCAAAATTTGCGGACATGATGATTTTATTCACTAAATCACTCAACACAGAAAACAAAATGAACTTATTTGAAAATGATGTCGGGTTTTTATTCAGTCATAAATTGGAGAGGACCATATGTTGTCGATATGTAAAGATAGTATGAAATTATGCATTAATTCATTCTTGGTAATTTGTTATAATGAGTTATTTAGAAAGCTTTTTCGAGTGTTTTGATAAATGTGTCAAGATTTAAGTGATAAAACGAATTTGGTCTAAATAAATGGTTTCATATTTATTTTATTATAATTTAATTGTTAGGTTAAATATATTTAGTAAAGATTTGATGTAAAATAAGGGAATAGAATAAGAAAAATGTAATGGACGGGGTTTGGGAGTTAGAGGATATTGATGATGATGGTTCAAGTGTAAGTGAGGGTTATAAGGAAGTTTATTGAGTTGATTATGCAGGAAGTAGTACTGAGGAGGAGAATGGGAACTAGATAATAATAGTAATAAAGGCCTTTATAAATAAAAATGATAAATTTGATGGGAATAAAGGTGCAGAGAGAATATATGGATCGCGTTATGCATCACTTGACTAAGCGACTAATGAACAATGTTGAGAAAAACGAGATTTTCGTTTTCATCTCTCTAAAAGTATAAGACTTTTCAGAATAGACAGGCTCAAACTATTGAAAATTGTTTGGTGCCTGTCGCCTGTCTATTTTTATCACAGTACACTGATGACAGCTGTCACAAGCACAGAAGCCGCTTGGTACGTTTTACGATTATACAGGATGTTTCTGTAAGTCGTGGCATAAATATAACCGCAAACACATAGATTGGTAGATTAATGTTCACTCACACTGAACCAGGGGGATGACACGCAAAGCACTGAATACAGCCGCAGTAACTATGGTTGGGGATTTCCTAAAACTTAAACAGTGCTAGGGATTCCCCGCATGTTTCTGTGACTCGTTGTAACCAAGAAACCAACCCGCAATCCAAAAATATCCTGTATTGTGCTTTAAACTAAAAGTTATGTTCGCATATTTAATAATCACGCAGTCATTATATTTATTTTATTAAGCAACAAGTAAAAGGCCAATTTATGCAACAATCAAGAAAATTGTAAAAATATGCAATTTTTTTATTGTACATCTGCCTTCTTTTTATCTAATTCGTCCAGAAACCAATTTTGCAGAAAATAAAGAAGATGCATTTTGCGTAAAATCCGAGTCCTAAATGATAACTAACTTCAGGTTTAAAATGTCAACCTCAATTTTGACATATTTGTAATCTTCATTAAAAATCCTTTAAAATGAGTACAAACACGACATATTTATCTTCAATATTAATGATGTTATGGTCAACTTCCGGTTAAGAATATTAACGTCAATTTTGACATATTTGTAATCGCCGTGAAAAATGCTTTAAAATGAGTCCAAACATGATACGTTTAATTCCAATATTACTCGAGATATAAGCAACTTTCGGTTTGAAATGTCAACGTCATTTTGACGTATTTTTAATTTTTATAAAATGTCTTAATATTTGTCACAAAAACAAAAATATAATAAAAAACTAAGGTTGGTATTAATATTTAAAAATTGAATTGCGTCATCTTTGAACTCACTTTAAAGATGACATTTATATCAAAATTGACGTTGACATTTCAAACCGGAAGTGATTATCTCCATTAGTATTAAAGTTAAATATGTCGAGTTTGGACTCATTTTAAAGGATTTTTTATGAAGTTGACTAATATGTCAAAATTAAAAGTGGAAAATTCGAACTTATTATTTTTATGAGATAAATGCGTCAAGTTTGGACTTACTTTAAAGGTTATTTTATGAAGTGATTGTCGCTTAGCTTTATCCTTTAAAACAAATAGTACCTATTTTAGGTCTTTCGGTATTCTGCATTTTTTTCAAAGACAAGTTACACCTTTATCTACCAGACAGCATGTAAATCTCTAAAAACGATAAAATGTAGCGAAAACAACATGTAAAAGTGATGTAAAACGCGGTCCATATGTAGATTGGGATGAAAGATCATAAATCCCATGCGTTCTATCTAATTTATCTCTTGATGGTTATGGAATATGTCTTGGAAACGTTGATGTGAAGAAGAAATTGACTTGGGATTCAAGGTTGAGCTGGATGCTCTTACAACTGTCCAAAAAAATTGTTGAGTAAGCTAACAGAAAGTAAGTTATGGGGATATTTGTTAATTTTTATATGTTTTTTAGTCACAGAGGGATTTTTTTAGCATATACAACTTTCTTAAACTCGTCCCTAAAGTAGTTATGTAAATAACTACTACTGTAAATAGAAAAGGTCCAGGCTCCCTTGTTTTTTAAAACTTGAAAACATGTTCATAATTAGTCTTTAATCAAGCAGGGCCAAACCCCAAAAAATGACAATTTATATCGAAAAAAAAAAGTACGTTTTATAAGAGTCGTCTCACCTATTCGGGGACACACTGTAGATACATGTTTTTAATTTATTATCAACCGTTGAGCTATCACCCAAATTTTTGTATTACAACCAGTCTTTTGATATAATTTATACTTTAATATTGTGTTTAATACCATATTATTTATAAAACTGTTAATATAACTACAAGTACAGAAGTTAAATTTGAATTTAAATTTGACACATTCATTAACATTAAAAAATTAAAATTACAAACAAATAAATTTTATTATTAAAAATTACTTAATATATACTACAAGATTTGATTATGTTATTAAAGTGTTTTGTTTTAATTTATTTGAAACATTATTATCTTTATAAATTAGATTTTTATAAATAAAAAAAATTTGTGTTGGCAGCTCTTACTTCAAATTTACTTAAAATCTTAAACGGTTGGCGCTACAGTCGGCGACATAACCTAAAAAGAAGTTACCGATAAAATGACGGAGCGTTAGTTTTGAAACTTATATTTCCTTAATTTTTATAACTTTTTTATTAATTTTTTAGCTAACAAATCGGAAGATTTATGGACTCCATATAAAGAACTTCTACACAATGTTACTACCTACCTCAACGGAGAATTTCGGAGCGAATGTTACACCGAGTTTGAAAACATCCTCAAACAGTACAAACAAACCTTTTATTCATTATTACAAAACCCGGTAAGTTCTTTTCTTTTTTAATTTATAATAATGCTTAGTATACCTTTTTATTATAAACAATTCATATCTTTATAACTTAGCCTAAAAGCGCAAAATGTCGCGAAGAATTGAAAAAAGGCATGGAGGAAGGTATAAACGTCAGAGAACATACCCATCAAGTTCTTTCAAAAGAACTGTATCAAGAAGCAATTATCTTATCAGATATGTATAATTTAAATGAGTTCTCTGCATTAGATTTGTTGTGTACCGCCCAAATACAAATGTCTTATTATCCTGGTCTTCCACGCGGATTAGTAGCGGTGTTATTATACTACGACGGTCGTAAAGCAATCCTATCAGTTTTAAGAATGCTTGTTCAAGCACGAAAAGGTGTTTTATGGTGTATAAAAATCCCCGGGGATGTTGAACAATTTATTACAACATACACCGATCAATTAATGGAAGGGGGATTATTTAATAGAATTTTTGAACTTCTAAGAACATTAGATTTAAGTAAAGAAATCGAAAAATTACAACAAAACGTAGCTTTGGGGGGTCCAAAACATCAACGTCAAGTAATCGATTTATTTAATAACATTCGTTTAATTTTGGGAGATATCGTTTTTTTATGGGCCTCGCAATCGGGTTTATCAAAACAACCAACACTCGGATTAATAAATTATTTAAGGGAACAAAAATTCGAGGAGGAATCGACCGGAAAAATCGACAACGTAAATTTGTATATGATATCGGGATTTTTAGCGGCATTAAACTTGAGCGTTCTTCATGAAAGGGAAGACGGCGAAGAAGCGATTCAAAATTTACCGATTTTAGCCGAGGGCGATTTCGTCGAGGCGATATTAAACGAGTTATCCCAAAATAAACCGTGGCAATGCAGCGGGTTACAAGCGACTGCCAAATTTGGTTTTGCCGTTTGTTTATCGTCGTTGCGTTTAATCCCGCAATCGCGAAGGATGCAGAATTTGATCGAACAGGAAGATATTTTTTGCGATGCGGCGATCGAAGGAAAAGTTTTTCGTTATATAACAAACGTTATTTTCACAAATGATTTGATTTATACCGAGGATGTTCTTTATAAACGGTATCATAACTTAATAAGCGATTTTATTGTTTATATGTATACAAAAGTGAAAGAATTACGGATTAAAGCGGATGAAATCGCGCGGACTATGCAGGTTTATGCGAACGAAGGGTTGGAGCCGCCTGTTAATTTGCCAAGACATTTCGAGGATTTTTTATTTTTCGTGGCGAAATTTTATGAGAAAGATCCGTTGAAGCTTAAGGCGATGTTGGAGTATTGGTGCCCCTTGGATCAAATTAATTTGAATGGGTCGCATAGAGCCCCATCGCGATCCGTTTCGTTATTTAAATTTGTTAAATTAGCGGGGGATGTTATCCCATCGACTTTATTTGTGCCATATCTTACAATGTTGGCGAGTTTATCTGGTTGCCAACAAGCGGCGAGATATTGTTTCAACATGCTTAAACAAACAACACCTGGGCTTCAAACGACGTTAAGTTGGGATCACTTTTTTATGTCTTTTAGCCAATATTACTCAAATTTGCGGCAAGAAATGCCGTTGGCCAGCGACACAGTTTATCGCCATCGAAGTACTTACCTCAAAGGAATCACCCCGCAAGAAATCCACGGATTACAAGCCGTTTTAAAGTTATTAAAAGCGATTGCGAGTCAAGATGAGTTTTCGCGGATGTCGCTTTGTGAACACCCGGCTTGGGCCCCATTAAGTATTTTATTGGGATTAGTTAGTTGTTCAGTTCCAATTCCTTTAAAAGCTGAGATTTTATCGACTTTAGCCGCTTTATCGAAATCGCCAGAAACTGCTTCGCAAATGTGGAATAATTTAGAAGCATCCCAAATTTTAATAACCGTCCCAAGCACATCGAGTTATCAACCAAGGGGGATTCAAACGGAATTAGATGAAGTCGAGTCAAGAATGGAGGAGTATCCATTAACGAAAAGTTTATTGGAACTTTTAGACGTTTTAACCGAATTTGGGATCCCAAGAAATTTAGGGGCTGGCCCAAGAGTACCGGGTTTCGATCCTTATTTAACGTTTATCGTGAATTCGGTCTTTTTAAAATTCCATACGAGATCGTACAAAAACCCGGAAGAGAAATGGGAGATCGCCGGGTTGTGCTTAAAATTATTCGAGAAATTCATAATCCAATATATTCCCGATGTAACAGATTTCCAAAACGCTTCTAAACCGGATAAATCGAATTCCCCACCAGGTTTTCACATCATGGTTCAATTAAACACAAAATCCAACGTTTTGAATCTAATCCTTTTTATTTTACACGAAGGAATAACCCTATTTGATACGTACAAACATTTCACCGCCGAAACATTTATTAATAAATGCACGTTAAGTTGTATGAATATAATCGAAAAAGGGTTATTATTACAAAACAGATTTTTCCAATTATTAAGTAGCGCGCCTTTTGGGGTCCCCATGGTGCAATTAAGCAAATTATTAATGAGTATAAATCAATGTAGTAATAAACCCGATCATGTTTTGAACATTGCGAGATACACAAACCATCAAATAACCATCCCCGCGCATTGTTTAGTTGCCATAAACATAATAATACAATTAACATCATCAACTTTAACCCACAACCAATTAATGAGCATAATCCTCTCAGACACCGACTCAAATAAATCAATTAGATGCGGATTTGTGGAGTGTTTAGACGCCCCCATCGATTCTAACGAAGACACCGACGTTAATAGCTTAACAAAAGATGCGATTTTAACGTTATTAAGGCAATGCTTGCCGTATAAAGCCCCAAATTTGTCTCATTACCTCTTCGGATTTGATTTAAAGAAAGATATAAGTTTTACAATTTTCCAAGTACCCGGAGTTATTGATTTCCCCCGAACCTGTATTCACTCATTATTTGGTTTATTAAAGCTTGCGTTAACTCCCGGGATCCCCATAAAACCCGGCTTATTAGAATCTGGTTATCAAATGTTATACGCTTTATGTGCTAACCATAAAACATCGGAACCAACGCTAAAATTATTACGGATGATCCCCAATTTTTTAAAAGACCACATTTTAGATAGATACAAAAATATTAACGACGGGATAAGCGTCGTTAATCAATTATCTTGGTTATTAATGACTACAGCCATCGAATTAAAAGTGTGTTGCCGCACCAAACAAATAAATTACATGAAACAACTCACCCAACTCTTAGTTGATATGCCACCAAGCGATACTTCATCAAAATTTGACCCATTCACCGTTTTACCGAGTGAGGCATCGAAAATTATACTCAACGACTCGCTTTCGGTGTACTCAACGCTTCAAGATTACTCGAAATTAAATAATCTTTTAATAAAATTGATCGTGCAATTCGATTTTAACATCAAAGAAGTGGTCGCACCTAATTGGGAGTTTTTTGATACAAACGTTTTAAACTCGATTTTAAATAGTTGTTACACAGGTACTAAACCGAAATTGATCGATATTAAAAAAGTGCATCAAATATTAATGGACGAGTTGGGGAATATTCAAGGAACGGCCGCGATTGGGCAAAGACAAGCGATTCTTAGGGAGATCCAAAAAGTGTTATTGCACGCGCTAAACATAAATAATTCGCGCCGAACCGCAGCGAGTATGATTAAGTTTATTGACGCTTGGAGGCAAGTTGTTGAAGTTTTAGTTCTTTTCGTTCCTTACGAAATACTCAACGCGGATGATCAACAAATATTACAAATTTTTATTTTGGAGCAACTCCTCGGAAAAGTCGTTAAAGCGCTATTATTACCAGATATAGGTAATTATTTATCAGGAGCAACAATTATTTTATTAGATAATTTGAGGAGGTGCCACATTTACTCCGAAAAACAAAGATGCGCTTCAAGAAAACCAACCGATTTAAACAAAAACACCTTAAGCATAATCCAATCAAATTCGGCTTCCCTCCGAATTATTCTAACCAACTTAATCGACTGGATTTTAACCGCCGATGTAACAGCCCAAAAATTACGAGTTAATTTATACGGGGCCCTCGCAACATTTTTACATCTAATCAACATCGAAGATTACGACGATTTACAAGTTAACGACTCTTTATATGTGAGTCGTTTAGACAATTCAAAATTAAAAATACAAAGCGAATCGTACACCATTCAATTATCATCGGATATATTTTCTGTGTTTAACGAAAAATTAATCGAAGTTTTATGCCACGATTGCGCCGGGGGGCAAGATATTTGCCGCATGTTAGCAATGGCCAGCTTTAGCCTGCTCATCACGTTAACCGGAAACACAAATTGGATCGTTTATTACTCAGGAAGGGGATACCTCAAACACACGATTCAAAGTATTTTAGATTCCGATCAAGATTTACAACTCGCCATGGAGCCAATGCCCGAAAATCTAAAACCCCTATACATATACGAATCGAAAATGTCGTTTTTAACCCGCATTGCAACAACGAGAGTTGGAGCCGAATTACTTTTAGAACAAAATTTGTTATCGACTTTATGTAACATGAAAGTTTTTGATTACCATCCGGAAATCACAAAAGATTTTTCCGAGGAACAAATGTTAATCGATAATATCCCACCGCTAACAACTAGATATCTTCAATTATGGTTACCAACCCTTCATATTTGCGAGGCGATTCTTACATCGTTAGGAACTGAAAATAGATCTTCCGTTGCTCAAGTAACCCATTACATTTTAACCCACATAGACGTGATCGAAATGATTTTAAGAGCTGGTTCTCCGTTTCTTTCAAACGATCACTTAAAAGAACTCTCTTTAATAACCGAGTTAATCGCGAGAACTGCCAATAACGATTTAATCACGATTTTAGACGCTGAAGATAGCAGCGCGTATTTGCACCGATTACAAAAATTAATGTTAAATTTATTACCGAAATTTATCCTAACAGAAACAATAATTAAAGAATTATTAACACATTCGCCAACGGTGAATGACACAACGTATCAAACATCCGAAAGACTTCTTCACGCCATGAAAATCGTCGTTAATTTAATGTTATACGCGCGAAATCTCGTTGCAAATCATGGAATTGAACATTCGGGGGTTGGAATTATTTTTCAAGCGACGCTTTCGGAGTCACTTAATGGGCAACAAACTAAAGGTTACAACGATCATCTTCCTTCGCTTGGTGTCATCATGCAACATTTAATAAACACGGTTCAGTATTATCACAAAGAAAAAATAACTTTGAACTATTTACAATCAAAATTAAGCGATATTCCTAATATGAACACTGTTGATTTGAAAGAGTTTATGCCGACGATTCAAAAAATGTTTGATTTGAGTATGATGAGGAAGAACGTTTATGAAATGATTGCTGAAAAGTTAAAAATGAAGAAATTGGAGATTGGATATGCCACTTTTATTATCGAGCATTCTTTGTATTTAATTTGGGTACATTTGGATTATTATATGTTGAAGGCTATTGTTAAAACTCAAAAGAAGAATATTGTTGGGTTGAATACTACCATTAATTTTGATTGTAAGTATTATTTTTTTTATAATCATAACATTTTTTGTATGACTAACGCAACTTACAAAATCGTTTGGCTTTATTAACTTTTTCCTTGATTATATAACCCAGATTATTAACAAGAATTTAGAATTTCTTCAAAAATGGCACATTCCTTCACGGTATAATTGACATGACAAAAGAAAACTTCACGGTATAATTAATATTTGTAAACAAAACTGATCTTACCTAACATTCCTTTACGGTTATAACTGACATTACAAAAGAAAACTTCACGGTATAATTGCCATTACAAAAGATAACTTCACGCTATAACTAATATTTGTAAACAAAACTGACCTTTCCAAACATTCCTTCACGGTGTAATTGACGTTATAAAAGAAAACTTCACGCTATAATTAATATTTGTAAACAAACCTGACCTTACATAACATTCTTTCATGGTATAATTAACATTCTTTAGCTGTAACCTAACTAACCTTACAAAATACAGGGTGCCCATTATGTATGGAATATAGTATATATCTTGGTAAGTATCAACTTTACAAAAAAACATTTTATACAAAAGTTGTTTAATATTTGATTTGCCATAATAAGACACCATTCAATTGTTTTTATTTCAGAAAACAAATGAGCAACGAATAACATTTGAAGTTTTTGAAATCTTCCTCTTGAACG